AGTGGCTTTAAGGCCTGTTTGACAGTGGGTGGGGAGTGCTTCTCTGCTCAGGGTTTGCGGGGGGCAGGGGGGGCTCTACCCTCAGGACCAGCAGGCTCTGAGCATAGAGGGCCCCTGGGTGGGCCCCAGCCCCGGATGCTCATGCTCCGCGGCTCCTCGTCCTCATCTGCGTCGGGCACCTGGGCGGACACGGCTCCAACCTCCTCTTCTGTTCTCTCATCCAGGAATGTGGGTGCCGGCAGGACAGGCGATCGGTAAGTCCTTGTTGATAGAGCAGAGGTGGGGACGGAAGCCACATGGCAAGCTGACTCAGCAGGCGCCCGAGGACAGCGGGCACAGCCTGGTTCCTGTGTCCTGAATGCTGGAGAGGAAGAGAGGGTGAGGGGCCTGCTGGGAGCCCCTGGCAGGCCCAGGTCTGGCTGTGGCCGGGCTGTGTCACCCAGCGCACTCCGCCCATCACTCCTGCACTGTGTTCCAGGTGGCTACGGACCGCCCCCTGCGGGAAGAGGAGCGCCCCCGCCACCCCCACCATTCACCTCCTACATCGTGTCCACCCCTCCCGGAGGCTTCCCCCCTCCCCAGGGTTTCCCTCAGGGCTACGGTGCCCCGCCACAGTTCAGTAAGTCGAGGGGGCCTTGGGGGGGGGCCTCCCGCCTGCTCTGGAGACTCCAGCCAGCCAGGTGGTGGGTGGGAGCGATGGGGGTTCCTGTGTTACATGTCTGGTCTCAGCCTCAGGGAGAGCTGCAGGTGGGGTGTGGCTGCTCAGCATGTCACCTGCCAACAGGCCCTTCACCTGCAGGTGGGCTCCGTTGCCTGTGGCTTTGCTGGTCAGGCTGAAGGGCAGCCCAGGCTCTTGCAGGCCGGAGAGCTCACGGCAGGAACGTCTGTACCCGGCCACTTCCTCTCACGAGCCCCTCAGGAGACGGTGCCAGGACTTCGTGTCTCAGCCTCGTACTTCAGAATTGGGGGGACATTTGTTTGAGGGTGCACAAGTTCTCATTATTGACTGATTTTCTGGTATGCTTCAGTTGTAATTGAAGAGCTAAGTATAAGAGTAGAAGTACACCCAGAATTTCATCTTACTGTATTTTTTTGAGACAGAGTTTCACTCTTGTTGCCCAGGCTGGAGTGCAGTGGGCCGATCTCGGCTCACTGCAGCCTCCGCCTCCTGGGTTCAAGTGATTCTCCTGCCTCAGCCTCCCGAGTAGCTGGGATTACAGGTGCATGCCACCATACCCGGCCAATTTTGTATTTTTAGTAGAGATGGGGTTTATCCATGTTGGCCAGGCTGGTCTTGAACTCGTGACCTCAGCACACCCAGAATTTTTGATGGGCTCCCAGGGTGGGGCCACTGGCGCCCTTCAGTAGAGGAGAAGAGATGCAGGCCTTCCAGGGGTGTGGCTTTCTAGGATCTTGTGGTCCCTTTACCGCCCAGCCAGTGGTTACTCCTCAGAGCACGCCGTCGGCACGGGGCTCTATCGGGATCTGATTTTCACTTGCCGTCCTTGGGACCCGGGGGTCTTTTACAGTTGGGGAACATCCCAGTGTGCGCTGGGGGCTTGGAGGCTCCATGTGGCTGTGGCACAGGAGTGGGCGGTTCCATGCTCTGGTCTGGATCAGGCTCTGCACATGGAGGCCCTTGGGCCAGATGACTGACAGGAGGGAGCTGGGTGGGACCTCGGCCCGCCTGACATCCAGCAGCAGAGGGCAGGGTGGCAGTGTCTCTGGCACGGCAGTCCCTTCCGAGCTCGTCAGGACACGCCCTCACCTGTGCTGGCAGCTTCGTAAACACGGGCACTGGGCATGGTGGCGAGCTTTTGTTCTGAAATGGATTTTGCTTTTGCTGTGGGGTTACTTGCTCCTTGAGGTTTTTTTTTTTTTTTTTTTTTTTTTTTTTTTTTTTTTTTGAGACGGAGTTTCCACTCTTGTTACCCAGGCTGGAGTGCAATGGCGCGATCTTGGCTCACCGCAACCCCTGGGTTCAGGCAATTCTCCTGCCTCAGCCTCCTGAGTAGCTGGGATTACAGGCACGCGCCACCATGCCCAGCTAATTTTTTGTATTTTTAGTAGAGACGGGGTTTCACCATGTTGACCAGGACGGTCTCGATCTGTTGACCTCATGATCCACCCTCTTCGGCCTCCCAAAGTGCTGGGATTACAGGCGTGAGCCACCGCGCCTGGCCTCCTTGAGTTCTTGTCTGACGCCCGCCCTACTGCAGCTCAGCGAACTGCCGCCATCCCAGGGGCGTGTGTTTCCCGGGGGTACAGCCTGGGTCTGTGGCTCTGTGATCCATTCTGTGGACGTCCATGAGGCCAGGGCATTGTGTGGGTTAGGGTGGCAGTCCCATCTGGGCAGCTCCTGCCTGGCTGGGGGTGGGTCTCCTGCTGGTCCGCCCCCAGCTGCACCACGTGGCCGTGCCTTGCCTTCCTGTGCGTCTGCAGGTTTTGGCTACGGGCCTCCACCTCCACCACCGGATCAGTTTGCCCCTCCTGGGGTTCCTCCTCCACCGGCCACTCCCGGGGCAGCGCCTCTGGCCTTCCCTCCACCTCCGTCTCAGGCCGCCCCGGACATGAGCAAGCCCCCGACAGCTCAGCCAGACTTCCCCTACGGTCAGTATGGTAAGTGGTCTCCTGCTGGCCCCGAGACCCCAGGCACAGCTTGCCTTCTGCTTCCTCCCCCTTTACCTGGCAGGAAAGGATAGAGGGAGGGGGCAGACGTGCAGCGTTTGTTGGAGAGCGCTCTTGCCCCGGCAGAAGGGAGCGCGGGAGTGTGGGTCGCAGCAGAGCGTTCGTCCACTCAGCAGGTGTTGCAGGGCCTGCGTGTGTGCGAAGCTGAGTGGTGACTGGGTCAAGGGAAGTGGGTCCCAGGAGGCTGTGATCACTGTCGCAAGGTCAAGGCCCTTGATGTGGGTCCCGGGTGCACCGACCCCTCGGCGTTTGCAGTTTCTGAGGTCATCATTCTCCTGCTGGGTTACAGACCCTGCCTGGGGTAGAGGCCTGGGTCTGCAGCAGGCCATGGCCTGGACGTGGGATTTGCCTTGGCCTTGATGGCTTTCGTGACTTGGGTGCTGTCTGGAGGTGACCTGTGGGAGGCGCATGTGCTTCAGGGCTCAGAGCTTGGTGAGGGGTGGGGCTAGGAGCTTGGTGGGGGCGGGTCTAGGGGCTTGGTGGGGGACAGGGCCAGGATGGGTCAAGGTTTTGCATGTCTGTAGTTCTTGACCTGCACTGAGCCTAGTGTCACGGCAGCCTGGCTCCAGACCAATGCGGTGTCCTAAGTGGGTAGGGCTCCAACCATGGGCAGCTCCTCCAGCACCAGGGGATGCTCACAGGCAGGGGGTGAGAACATGGGGCGCCTGTGAACACGCTTCCTTTAGGCCTGGTGGGTGCTGGGAGTGGGAGCTGTGTGTGGCGCAGGTTCCCGCCTGCCTTGCATGGCTCTGGTTCCCTTGCCCTCATGACCAGGCCTTGGGCCCAGGTTGCTGCATATGTGGGTCTTCACCTGCCACCAAGCCCCGAGTGTCTACGGCTGGCAGGGGGGCATGAGGCGCCCAGTTGGGCCGTGGAGTGTGTGTCAGCCACTGCTCTCGGTGGCGGCTGCCTGGGTTGGTCACCCCGGTCTCGTCTCTTGCCAGGCCTGGGTTCCTATTCTCCAGACCCGCCGGGCTGCGGCCCACACTTTGTTTACACTCTTATGGTCAGGCTGAGCAGTGATGTGGCTTAGGTAGGTGCCTCCTCCAGGTTCCTCCCACCTGCCTGCACCGGGAAGTGGACGTGGCTTCCCCTGCCGCCCGGGCGGGGGTGGACGTTGGCGATGCCCTCTGGGGAGGGGCCCTTGCCAGTGCTAAGATGTTGGCTGGTTATAAGCCTTCACCAGATCCAGGATCTCCCGGAGCCCACGCCTGCCTGTGCCCTGTGCACCTGACTGGGAACCCAGAGGGTGCGGGAGGGGCTTCCTGAAGGTGTGTAGTCGGGTGGGGAACAGCCCGGTGTCTGTTCTTGTTCAGGACACCACTGTCCACGCCCCTGAGGTCGGCTGTGTGGCTGGACCGGCCACAGGGTGTGCTGGACCCTCCGTCATGGTATCACTGGGGCAGTCAGGTTGGGCCCAGGACCCTTCCCTGACACGTGCCACCAACGGACGTGCCCTGGCAGGGGGACGACGTGGGGTCTGGGTAGGCCCTGCATTGGTGCAAGGGCGCATTGGGGGTTTTCTGAAACTGAGAGCCAGCTTTCTAGAAGCCCTGTCCATGATGGCGCCTCGGGCCGTCTGTGTCTCCACCCACCCCCAGCCATCTCCAGCCTGCCCCCGACCAACCCACGGTGTCTTCCGGATTGAACGGGGAAGCGGCAAGGCCATGTGGGCCACGGAGGGCTCTGGAAGCTGATGTTCCCTGTGTGTGCCCTGCTCACACTGGTTTTGAGGGAGAGAACACGCCACCCGTGGCTCCTCTCGGTGGCTTATGTGCTGGCCTGAGAAGGGCTGCATCCCACCCTGTGGGGCCTGTGGTCTCCAGGTGGCTCCGTGGAACTGCGTCCAGGCAGCCTCGCTTGACGGCAGTGCCCAGTGCCCGGGGACCGCCCCGAGCTCACAGGCCTCTCTCCTCCAGCAGGTTACGGGCAGGACTTGAGTGGCTTTGGACAGGGCTTCTCGGACCCCAGCCAGCAGCCCCCCTCCTACGGGGGCCCCTCCGTGCCAGGGTCAGGGGGCCCCCCCGCCGGTGGCAGCGGCTTTGGACGAGGGCAGAACCACAACGTGCAAGGGTTCCACCCCTACCGACGCTAGCCGCGGTGGCGACTTCTACACGGCCCAGACCCGGATTCCAAGCTTGTGAACTCGTGACAATCACAAACGTGGCGGCAACGTAGCAACTCAGCCTTGGGGGGCGGGGGGGGCGAGGCTTTTGGAGCGGCTGTGGGTGTCTTTTGGACTGAGGTTTTTAAGTATTTCTTTCTCTAACCCATCAGCACAATAAAAAAAAGTCACTGGTTCAACAACAGGGTTAAAAAAAATGTCTTCAGCTTTAATTCAAAAGTTCAGGTTTCTTTTTCTTCTTTTCTTTGGAAATTATTTTCCTGAGCCTTTTGTTTTATGGTATATTGTAAACTTTTATGTTAAAGAAAAAATATACATTTACAAATTGTGAGATTTTTAAGAGAAATTTTCTACGATGTATACTGGCTTATTTTTTAATTTAAAACAGGGTTTCCGTCAGCACTGGTGGAGGGGGTGCGTTTCTAGTCCCCTTGCTTTGGGGGTTGGGACTCCTTGGTCCAGAAACTCTGGGAGCTTCAAGAAGAAATCTACTGAGTGTGTTTCTGTTTTTCATTTAATTCCTTGCTTTTGTCGACTGACCTGCCTGGTAGTCTCTGAGGTGCGCTGTGGGGGCTGCGCGCAGCCAGCCGCGTGGACACTGGCGGTCTGGATCCCACGGCTGGGTGGGCCGAGTTGGAGGCCATCTCCCCAGGCACGTGGCTTCAGGGTGTTTCCCACTGACCAGTTTGACCCTGGTTTGAATAAAGAGAAGTGCGTTTGGATTAGAAACCACTGTGTCTGTTTCTTCCCTCCTTGGTCTCGGCCTGGGCCCACCCCTCAGTGGGTGTTGGGGTGCTGGGAGTTTTACGGTGTGGCCACCAGTAGATTGCTCTGGGAGTGTGGGCTCCAGCCTTCTCCCATCCCGTGACCTTGATTAAACATCTCGTGCCATGGAAGGTGACACGTGCCCAGGTTCTGGGGATTAGGACAGGGGCATCTTTTGGAAGCAATACTGTCACTCTGGCAGGGAAAGCGAGACTTAAAAAGACCAGGTGCGGTGGCTCCCGCCTGTCATCCCAGCACTTTGGGAGGCTGAGGCCGGCAGATCCCCTGAGGTCTGGAGTTGGAGACCAGCCTGCCCAACGTGGTGAAACCCCATCTTTACTAAAAACACAAAATTAGCGGGGCGTGGTGGCGCGTGCCTGTAATCCCAACTCCTTGGGAGGCTGAGCGGGGAGAATTGCTTGAACCCGGGAGATGGAGGTTGCAGTGATCCGAGATCACACCATTGCACTCCAGCCTGGGTCACAGGGGGAGGAGGCCCTGTCTCTAAATATATAAATAAATGGGTCCGCCAAGTTTCCGATTGGAAGCCTACAGCATTCCAAGTGTGAGAGCCTGCAAACAACAGCTAGAACCTCTTGCCCTGGTTCCTATCTGGGGGGGCAGGGAAGGTTTGGCTTAGTTTAGAGAGAGCCAAGAAAAGGAGTATCCCCCCACACCCCTGTGCAGTGCAGTTTTCTCACCGAGACACTATCCCCCAATGCCTCTGCCCGGGAAGCCAGCCCTGTTCCCTCTCTCAGAGCTTTCTCCCGTATCCTCAGGAGCTGGCGGAAGGCCGGGGCCAGGCGGGAGCAGCCTTCTCCACTGGTGTTTTGTGTCAGCCCCTCGAGTCTGATCAGCTCCCCCAGCCAAGGAGTAGCACGCACAAAATCGGCGGGCGAGCCAGCCAGGATGGCGTCTGCTGCGGGAAAATGGGCAACTTGGGTGGGCCCCACACACAGGTGCTGTGCTCCTCAGGGAGAGGGAGAGGCAGCCCCTCCTGGGCACTGTCATTGGCTTTTCTTGGGACTGTGGGGAAGGCTCGGGAGAGCTGAGCTCCCTGGACGGCGCCACAGCTAAGCTTGGGTTCCCAGAGGTTTTGGGGGTCTGTTTTTTAGGAGGGAGTTTTGCTCGTTGCCCAGGCTAGAGTGCAATAGCACGATCTCAGCTCATTGCAACCTCTACCTCCCGGGTCCAAGCGATTCTCCTGCCTCAGCCTCCTGAGTAGCTGGGATTGCAGGCGTGAGCCACCCTGCCTGGCTAATTTTTGTTATTTTTAATAGAGATGGAGTTTCACCATGTCGGCCAGGATGGTCTTGATCTCTTGACCTCATGATCCGCCCATCTTGGCCTCCCAAAGTGCTGGGATTACAGGCGTTAGCCACCGTGCCCGGCCAATTTTTGGTAATTTTAGGAGAGATGGAGTTCACCATGTTGGCCAGATATGCCAGGTGAATGCCCGCCTCAGCCTACCCAAGTGCTAGGATTCAGGCGTGAGCCTCTCCACCCAGCTGGGTGCCAAGTTATTGTAGTAATCGTCACCTTCAACTTTATGCTTAATTCCAGTAAGATACAGGCTGGGCACAGTGGCTCACGCCTGTAATCCCAGCACTTTGGGAGGCCAAAGTGAGTGAATCACCTGAGGTCGGGAGTTCGAGACCAGCCTGGGCAACATGATGAAACCCCATCTCCACTAAAAATACAAAATCAGCCAGGTGTGCTGGTGGGCTCCTGTAATCCCAGCTACCTGGGAGGCGGAGGTATAAGAATTTCTTGAACCTCTGAGGTGGAGGTTGCAGTGAGCCAAGATTGTGCCATTGTACTCCATCCTGGACAAGAGCAAAACTCCGTCTCAAAAAAAAAAGCAGCATTCCTATGTAGTTCTGGTTTTTCTTTCTTTTTGAGCTGTCATCATTCATGCTACGTTTGCATGTCTTACAAACCCAGGGATGCTCCTGAGTTCATTGTCGAGACAGGGTCTTGCTCTTGTCGCCCAGGCTCGAGCGCCCTTGGCGTTATCACGGCTCGCTGCAGCCTTGACCTCCTGGGCTCAAGGCTCAGAGTAGCTGGGATCATGAGCACGCCACCATGTCGGCTGACTTTCGTATTTTTTATTCTGTTCTGTCCGTGTGTACACACGTTTTTGCATTTTTTTTTTTTTGTAGCGAGGCAGTCTCACTGCCCCAACTTTCTATACAAAATTTTTCGTTAACGCCTGAATGGTTCTTGTCATCGTGGCCCTGTCCCTGCTCCGGTATCTGCAATAACCTCGTCTTCCTCCCGCACTAGGACCTAAACCCCCAAACCGCACCTACGAGCCAACAGTAGGCGCTCCATGAATACTCGAGGTGGGTGTCACCCTTTAGATAACGGAGCACGTGCCCGAGTCCCACTGGAGGAAGCGGTTCTGCAGAGCTCCGCCCCGTTAGTCCCCGCAGCCTGTGTGTCGCCCTCCGGCCGGCAGAGGGCGCGCGTTGGCCGCCGGGAAAGCGGAAGCGCGTGTGCTTTCACGGCCGAGGGGGCGGGACACGCTGGCGGTCTCGCGATAACTGCGCAGGCGCGGACAAGAACGGTCTTTTCCGAGGATCCGGCAAGATGGTGAGTGTTGCGATTTGGCGCGTCTACCCCGGGCCTATCCGGCTCCATCCGACCTCTGACCGTCCGCGGGAGCCTCAGGACGGCCCCGCGACTACGGCGGTCGGCTCCGGACCTTGGAGGTGGCCACATGTCGGGGCGTGGGGCGGGCCCGGTGGGTGTCGGGACGACGCGGGGCGGGGAAGGCCCGTCCGGGATCCCGTAACCCGGAGCCGCGCGTGACCCCGGGGAGGGGGGGGGTCCAGTCGGTGTGTCGCCGTCGGGTTTCCGTCCGCGGCGTCCTCGTGCCCGGTGGCCCCGGGTGGAGGGTGTCGGGATCCCGCTGACGCCCGGCCCGCGCCCGCGCAGGCAGAGGTCGAGCAGAAGAAGAAGCGGACCTTCCGCAAGTTCACCTACCGCGGCGTGGACCTGGACCAGCTGCTGGACATGTCCTAGTGAGGCCGGCGGGGCTGGGGCGGGGCTGGGGCGGGGGTCGCGGGCGGGGCCGGACCGGGGTCCCAGCGCCTCCCCCGCCGAAGGACTGAGCGCGGTTGTGCGCCCAGAAAACCGTCCAGAGACGTTGAAGGTTTTGCTTTTCAACCCGCCCCGTCTGTTCCCTTCTCCGCGGATTAGGCGGAGGGCGCAGCCCACGTGGGTGAGGATACCGGGCAGCGTCAGAGCCCTGAGGTTCCCAGGCCGGGGGTGGGCGCCGGTCGCTCCTTTCCGAGCAGGGCGAAGGCACGTGGCGGGCAAGTTAGTGCTTCTGTTGTCTTTGCTGGGGATGGAGTCTCGCTGTGTCGCCCAGGCTGGAGCGCAGTGGCGCGATCGCGGCTCTCTGCAGCCTCCGCCTCCCGGGTTCAAGCGATTCTCCTGCCTCCGCCTCCCGAGGAGCCGGGACCGCAGGCGCGCGGTGCCACCCCCCGGCCAAGTTTTGGATCTTTAGTAGAGACGGGGTTTCGCCATGTTGGCCAGACTGGTCTCGACCTACTGACCTCGTGATCCACCCGCCTCGGCCTCCCAAAGCGCGGGATGCCCGGGGGAGCCGTGCGTGACCGCACCTTGTCCGAGGCTGTAGCTTCGGGGCCGATTGTCCCCTCTGAGTGGCTCTGCAGTCACTCGGTAGCTCTTGCATCTGCGGTGCGTCGCGCTTACCGGGCGGGGGTGCCGGAGGGACTCTGCGTGTTGCTTTTAAGTCACTGCAACGGTCGGTGACAGATGAGCGCAGCCGTGTCCCCCGGAGTGGGTGGGGTCGCCCCGGGCGGGGCCCTCAGACCGGTCTGCCCCGTGCGTCCTCAGCGAGCAGCTGATGCAGCTGTACAGTGCGCGCCAGCGGCGGCGGCTGAACCGGGGCCTTCGGCGGAAGCAGCACTCGCTGCTCAAGCGCCTGCGCAAGGCCAAGAAGGAGGCGCCGCCCATGGAGAAGCCGGAAGTGGTGAAGACGCACCTGCGGGACATGATCATCCTGCCCGAGATGGTGGGCAGCATGGTGGGCGTCTACAACGGCAAGACTTTCAACCAGGTGGAGATCAAGGTGCGTGGGCCGTCCGTGCGGGCTGGGATGCGGCGGGGGTGGGGAGGTCAAGGTGCGTGGGCCGTCCCTGCGGGCTGGGATGCGGCGGGGGTGGGGAGGTCAAGGTGCGTGGGCCGTCCGTGCGGGCTGGGATGCGGCGGGGGTGGGGAGGTCAAGGTGCGTGGGCCGTCCCTGCGGGCTGGGATGCGGCGGGGGTGGGCAGGTCAAGGTGCGTGGGCCGTCCCTGCGGGCTGGGCCTTCCCTGCGGGCCAGGAAGGTCGCCTGACGCCCAGCTCTCCTCTTCGCCTCCCGCAGCCCGAGATGATCGGCCACTACCTGGGCGAGTTCTCCATCACCTACAAGCCCGTGAAGCACGGCCGGCCGGGCATCGGGGCCACTCACTCGTCCCGCTTCATCCCCCTCAAGTAGCGGCTCTGCGAATAAAGGCACCCAGATCTCCAGCCCTGCGCGAGGCCTGTCCTTCTGCGTCTGGGCCCTGGGATCGGCCGGGGGCCGGCTCCGCTTCTTGCTGTGAGGGGGTTCAGGTTGGAAATTCCGGGCCGTGACGGAGTGCTGCGCGAGGGCCTCTTGGTGTCCGAGGCTGACAGCTGTGCGCCCAAGCCCAGGGGTAGCCCTGTCCCTTCGGCCGTCAGCGTTCTCTGCCTGGGGGCAGCTGGCTGGCCTCCTGCTGTCTTCTGGGTGCCCCATGCAGAGGGACCACTCCTGGGCTCAGGGCAGCCCCTCCTCAGGCCCCCACCTCCCCTAGGTCTCCCTTCTGGCCTCTCGTCTCTTGGAGGAGGGTCCCCTCAGGAAGCAAAGCAGCAGCAGGAACTTTTGGGCAACCTGAGCCTCTCCCATCGTCGGCCCACGCAGCTCCTCACAAGCTCCTGACCCATTCTCCGGGCTCTGCCCTCCCACCAGGCTCCATGGCTGCCGCCAGCCTTGTCCTTCCAGCCTGGGGTCTCATGTCCCAGGACAGAGCAGCATGTCCCGTGGCTTCGGCTGCACCATCCATAGTCTGACCAGCCCAGTCACCTTCGCACGGGATGCTTGAAAGAACAGGACGCGGTGGCCGCCGTGTGTCTGGGCTTGGGGCACCTTCCAGCCCTTGGTGGCCTCCCTGATGGCTGAATGGGGGTGGGAGAACATGGCGAGAACTGACTTGGGTTCGATGCTGGAGTCACCCTCAGTCGAGGTGGGAGGTGGCAACTGCCCACGCAGTGTCCAGCAGAGCAGTGGGGGATGGGGTCTCCCCTTGAGCAGTGGATTAGAGGGTGAGAGGTCAGCCAGGCCCGTGGGTTCAGGGGAGATGTGAGGAGCCCCCCTTGGTTCACCCTCAAGCGCCCCACAACAATGTCCTGTAGGCCCTGCTCTAGCGTCTCCACCTTTTTGTCTTTACCTGTTGCCACGCTGTGATCGCAGCTCACGGCAGCCTCAACATCATGGGCTCCAGTGACCTTCCCTCGACCTCCCCGCTCTGGGATCGGGGGTGTCCAGTGACCTTCCCTCGACCTCCCCGCTCTGGGATCGGGGGTGTCCAGTGACCTTCCCTCGGCCTCCCCGCGCTGGGATGGGGGTGTCAGACACTGCACTTGGTTCTGTCTTCAAATGTAACATCATCTGCAGCTGGGTGCGGTGGGCAGATCACCTGAGTCAGGAGTTCAAGACAACCCTGGACAACACGCTGAGACCCGATCTGTACTTTTAAAGACCCAAAAATTACCCTAGTTGGGCATGATTGGGTGCGCCTAGATTCCAGTTGTTTGAGAGGCTGAGGCAGGAGAGTCACTTGAACCCAGGAGGCAGAGATTACACTCTGCCTGGGTGACAAGAGTGAGACTGTCTCAGGAAAAAAAAAAGGATCATCTGCAGCTGGGCGCGGTGGGGCTCGCACTTGTATTCCCAGCACTTTGGGAGGCCACGGTGGGCGGATCCCCCGAGGTCAGGAGTTAGGGGAGACTAGCCTGGCCGACATGATGAAACCCCATCTTTAAAAAAAACAATATGCTGATGTTTCATCTCTCAATTTGGAATCAACTTATACGTAGAATGCGTGCGTGGGTCACTTGTGATCTGATTGGGAAAGAGGTGGGTGGGACAGCTTAAAAGCATGGGTCCACTGCAGCTGGAGACCCTCACCCCGCATCCAGAGTTGGGGGATACTGGGAGCATCTGTCACCTACCTGGCTGGTGCAGAGGGGCCTGCCGCTGTGGGGCACTGTGCTGTGCGTGGCCATGTCTCAAGTCCCGCGTTGGCAGACCCTGCCAGGAAGTACGGAGGCCGGGGAGGTGGCTTGAGGACCTGGACCTGCCGGGTAGTCGGAAGTGGGGGCGAGTCTCGCTGGCAGTGCCTGAGATCAGTGGAATATTGAAAATTCGCCTGTGGGCTGCCCTGAACCCGCCTGGGCTTCAGATGAACCCTCAAGGCTTTGGAGGGTGGTTTAGCTGCTTGGTGCAGCCTTAGGCAGGGCAGTGGGAAAAGCCCCTCGGGGTTAGGACTGTCCAGAGGGCCCCGGGCAGGCTGCCCAGGTTCACTTCAGCTTCATAGGCCTGCCCAGCCCCAGCCTCCGGAGACGGAGGGAACGCATCTGCAGGGAGGGCTCATTGTGGTGTTTTCAGTTTTTCAGACCAGGTGCCACTTTCTCCCAGGCTGGAGTGCAGTGGCTCCATCTCAGCTCACTACAACCTCCGCCTCCCAGGTTAAAGTGATTCTTGTGCCTCAGCCTCCTGAGGAGTTGGGATTACCGGCATGTGCCACCACACCTGGCTAATTTTTATATTTTTAGTAGAGACAGGATTTCAGCGTGTTGGTCAGGCAGGTCTCCAACTCCGAACTCAGATGATCCACCCACCTCAGACTTAGAAAGTGCTGGGGTTACAGGCCTGAGCCACTGTGCCTGGCCCAGAATTATTTTTAAAAATGAAATTGTTAGGCCGGGCGCGGTGGCTCACGCCTATAATCCCAGCACTTTGGGAGGCCGAGGCAGATGGATCACGAGGTCACGAGATTGAGACCATCCTGGTCAACATGGTGAAACCCCGTCTCTACTAAAAATACAAAAATTAGCCGGGCACGGTGGCGCGTGCCTGTAATCCCAGCTACTCGGGAGGCTGAGGCAGGAGAATTGCCTGAACCCAGGAGGCGGGGGTTGCGGTGAGCCGAGATCGCGCCATTGCACTCCAGCCCGGGTAACGAGAGCGAAACTCCAGCTCAAAAAAAAAAAAGAAAATGAAATTGTGGAGGTGTCAAAACAGGTGTTTAAGCCTCAGATGAATGGGTGCCATGCTGAAACCCAGCTTTATCTGCAGGGTGGTGTTCAGCCCTGAGCATTGGAAGGCACAAGGGGTGGTGGTTTACCGCGGTCATTGAGGCCCCGCCTAAAAAACCATGGAAATGCTAAGAGCTTTTGAACTACCAGGCTCTGTAGGTGAGATTTGGAGCCACGCCCATTGTCATCCGGAGGCAGCCAGCTGGCAACAGGCCCCAGGCCCCTCCCTGAAAAGCCGAGGGGGACCCGGTTCAGGGTTTCATCTTGCTTTTGCGGAGCTTACTGGCATCCAGCTGTGTGCCCATTCACGCCTACATTCTACTGGGCAGATGCTGAGCATCGACTGTCTGACCCTTTAAAGGAAGTTTCCTGTCCATAAATGCCCTCCCTGCACGTGGCGCGGCCGGGCCAGCACGGGTGGTTTTCTGCAGCCGGAATCAGGGAAAATACATTTTCACATTTAAAGGAAGTTTCCTGTCCATAAATGCCCTCCCTGCACGTGGCGCGGCCGGGCCAGCACGGGTGGTTTTCTGCAGCTGGAATCACGGAAAATACATTTTCATATTTAAAGCAAAAAGATACTCTGCCATCTCAGATACAGGCACACTTTGGCAGCCAGGTGGTGCTCTAGGTCCATGGAATTTGGGGGGCATCCAGGAGTTGGGGTGGGAGCCTGGATGCCACTGCTGGGCACGGTTCCGAACACAAGGCCCAGGCTCTGTCCTTAGGTCTCTCTCACATCTACGGTTTGTTTGTTTTGTCTTGCTCTGTGGCCCAGGCTGGAGTGCAGTGGCACCATCTTGGCTCACTGCAATGTCTGCCTTCTGGGTTTAAGTGATTGTCCTGCCTCAGTCTCCCTAGTATCAGGGACTGCAGGCGCGTGCCAAGACGACCCCTAATTTTTTGTAATTTTAGTAGAGACAGGGTTTCAGGATGTTTCCTCTGATCCCACGCCCTGCCCCAGAACCTGTGTGGATTCTCCCAGACCTGCCGGGTCTCATGACGTCCCAGGCAGCTCCGTCCTCTGGGCACCGGTCTGGCCCTGGCGCTGCAGGTCCGCTGCCTTCAGTCCCTGTCCTGGTTCCCGCCGCTTGGCACATGCCCGCGCCCTCCCTTGACTTCTCAAGCAGGAGCCCTGCGTGACCCGAAGCCTGCGGGCCCCACCACGGCCCCACCAGGAGCATGGCTCCCTCCCAGCTCTCCGGGTTTCAGCAGAGGCACCTGCTGGAGGCGGCCCGCCCCGCCGTCCTGCTGAAGCAGCGCCCTTTCTCCTTCGGCCGCTCGATCTCTGGTTTCCCGGGACTCAATTCATAACACGCCTCAGCCCCCAAACTGGCTGGGCCCCATCTTCCGACTCTGGACCCGCGCAGCGGCTCTGCCTGCCCTCCCGGCGCCGCCCACGGCCCGTTCTCCCCGCAGCCGCCAGTGGGCGCCCGTGAGCCTGGAGTCGGGCGCGGCCCTGCTCTGCCCACAGCCCATCGTGGCTCCCACTTTCCGCAGGGCCTGCGCGACCTGCCCGGGACCCTCCCTCCGTGCCCTCTCCCCTCACACCACCCAGGGCTCCCCAGGTGCTCCCCATGCCCCTGTTCGGCCTCCCCAGCAGCTCCCCATGCCCGTGTTCGGCCTCCCCAGCAGCTCCCCATGCCCCTGTTCGGTCTCCCCAGCAGCTCCCCATGCCCCTGTTCGGCCTCCCCAGCAGCTCCCCATGCCCCTGTTCGGCCTCCCCAGCAGCTCCCCATGCCCCTGTTCGGCCTCCCCAGCAGCTCCCCATGCCCGTGTTCGGCCTCCCCAGCAGCTCCCCATGCCCCTGTTCGGTCTCCCCAGCAGCTCCCCATGCCCCTGTTCGGTCTCCCCAGCAGCTCCCCATGCCCCTGTTCGGTCTCCCCAGCAGCTCCCCATGCCCCTGTTCCGCCTCCCCAGCAGCTCCCTATGCCCTGCCGGCCCCGCTGGCTTCTCTCCCCAGCCCGCTGCAGTCCTCGTTCAAGTCCGCTTCCCAAGGGCAGGGGTTTTGACTTTTGTTCATTGCAGGGATCCCAGCACACAGCAGGTGCTTCATAAATGCTTGTTAAATGAATGTCTGCGTGCGGTGTCGCCCCCTTACGGCGGCCCCCTTCGCCCAGCTCCGCTCTCGGCAAGCGAAGTTTGCGCAGGTGATTGCTGAATGACTAATGAACCTCAGCGCGCCAGGCCGTGCTGATTCCGGGGCGGTCACGAGGTTCCGCAGGTCACGAGTGCCCGTGGGCAGCAGACCCCATTCCCCGTGGGACCCCGTGTCCCTCTCCCACCGAGCCCCCGCCCGTCTCCTTCCGCATTCGAACTCCCCTGCGCGGTGGGACCCGTTCCTCGCGCCGCTCGGCCCACGTGAGTCCCCTCCCCTCTCTCCCTGGATCTTCCGCAGCCTCGGTCCCGCGAGACTCCCCAGCCCCCGAGCGCCTCCAGACCCCACGGGAAGCCCGCGCCCCTTTCGGGAGGAGCCCCGCCCCAGACGCGCGCAGTGACCCCTCCCGCCCCCCTCTCCGCGCAGGCGCAGGGCACACGGGGCCGCGGCCCGCACCCCCACCCTGGCGGCCGAGAGGCGGGGCGCGGCTGGTCCGGGGCGGCCGCGGCTCCATGGGGCTCCTGGGGCTCCTGAGCCTGCTGCACTCGGCCTTCTTCGGGGACCAGGTAGGGCGCGGGGGTCGGGCCGCTGGGGAGGGCTCCAGGCGGCGCGGGCACGGGGCGGGGTCCACACCGCGGGGACGCCGGGCGCGGCGGCGGGGGGCGCACGAGGGAGCGAGCGGAGGCTGCAGAGTCGGGGGTCTGGTGCGGTCGCCGTGGAGACGGTTGCCGGGGAAACAGCCTGGGGGGTTGGCGGGGCCGGGAGCCCCTCTCCTGCGCCGCAGCGACCCCCCCACACACACCCCGGGTCTGCGCAAGCGCAGGGCGCGCCCGGCCCAGCCCCCGGCCTCAGCGGGAGACCCTCGGACCCCTCCTCACTGCGGCGACGCCGAGGCTGCGCCCGCTGGGTTTGCGGGGAGGCTGCGGGGGCATCCTGCGGAGGCTCGGCCCTGCGCAGGGTGGGGGCCTGGGCCACGCCCTGCGCCTTTGGGCCTCAGTTTCCCCTTCTGGGTGCGAGCGTAAGGGCTGCTTTGACGTTCGCCGCGGCTGCTGTTCGTATCCGTCGGTTCCCGACCCCAGCGCGTCTCCAGCCTCCGGAATCGTTCCGAATCTCGCGGCCGTGACATGCCCCGTTGACGGGGAAACTGAGGCTGGGAGTGCAGCGGGGAGCCCAAGGTCACGCCTCGAGCAGGGCTGGAGCCTCGTTGCGGAGCGGAGGCGCCCGCAGAGGACGCGGCGGAGGGGCCGGGGAGCTGTCCGCGGTGCTGACGGAGACTCACGTCTGCCGGCTCGCCGCCGGGGAAACTGAGGCCCACAGTGGCGATCAGGTTTCGAGGCGCGGCTTGAACCGGCCTGTCCCACCCCTCCCCCACTTCCAGTGGCCTCCTCACCGGTCAGGGCCCTGCCCGGCCACCCAGCCCGCGACGGGCCTGTCTCTGTCCTCCCGCCATGACCTGCTGCCTTCAGGCCCCTTTCGGTCCCCACCCGGCTCCCGATGGGGGCCGTTCCTATTTCTGCCCCCAGCCCCTGGCACAGAGGAGACATCAGGGGACGGGGACAGCTCGAGGTCAGACTCAGAGGAGTCAAAGACACTCCAAGAGTGAGCCAGGCTGAGGGCTTGCGGGGAGGCTTCACAGGCCGGGCGTGGGGAGTGAGTGGCCATTTGATGGAACTTCTCCCTTAACCCAGCAGTAGTGGGGGGCGTGGAGGACCCCAGGGAGGAGTCTGGGAAGGGGTGTGGGGCTAGGCCGCCCGTTCCACAATGGGAGACAGGGGAGGCCTCTCTCAGCCTTCTAAGGCCTGGGGGGCCATGGGGGGTTCTTTTGACAGTAAAATGTCTAATGTCTGAGTGTGGCTGTGGTTCAGGGATTTACAGGGTCTGGGATTTTAGTGCATTGTGGGTTTGTTCAGAGGCGTAATGTTCTGGAGATTTGGGGCCAAGGGCGCCCTGTCTTGGGGTCTCAGCCCTCCAGGTCCTGGGCACCTCCACAGGGATAAGGAGGGAGGCTCAGAGCCACTCCGGAGGCCTGGTTGGCATTCACGGGTGAACCCAGGCAACATGTTACCCAGACTAGGCCTCAGTTTCCCCATGTATACAAGGACAGGGCTGACCTTGGATCCCCCAAACCCCTGCCTGAGAGGGGCCTGGGGTGCTGAGACATCTGAAACTAAACAGGGAGGTGCAGTTCCACTCGGGGGAGAGGCAGGGGTTATCCAACCCACCCGCCCATTTAACAAGACTGGAAACTGAGGCCAGAGAGAGACATGCCTAGGGTTACACAGGGACGGCAAGGCTGAGCTGAAGCCAGGGCCCCGGGCTCTGCATCCCCCACCCCATTCCAGCCTCGCCCTGCCCTGCCCCGACTTGCCCTCGCCAAGCCCCACCGCGGGCCGTACCCCATGGCTCCAGCAGACACCCCCTGTGTCCCAAGCATGCACTGATCTTCCCTCAGCCTGGTACTACTCTCCCCTGACCACCGCTGTTCGCTTCTCTGGAGTCTCCAGCCTCCAGAAAACATCCCCTGTGTCTGCCTAATGCATTCCCTCTGCAGACCCAACCACCGGGGTCAGCTGCCTGCAGCTCTGGGGACTCCCACACAGCCAGGCCTAAGTGTTCTCGGCCCCTGGTAGTGCCGGCCCAGGCCGGGGCCTTCAGGTCGTCAGCTCAAGGCCCAGCAGGAAACAGCACAGGTCCTCCCATGCCGTGCCTGGGGGGCCTGGAACGCTCAGACCTTCACACTCTCCTGTCATTCCTGCAGCAGCCTTTGCAGAATCTTCTGCCTCCTCCCCATTTTACAGAGGAGGACACTGAGGGTTCAGCCGTGAATGCTTTGCCCGGGCTGCTCAGCCCAGGAAAAAAAAAATCACGCCTTCTGTTCCCCCCGGCCGCCTCCTCTTCTGTGCTGTGAGCCTGTTTCCAGAGCTTTAGAAAAGGCTGCTCCAAGCTGTAGGTTTGGGCTCTGGGTGTTACACCCTCAGGTAGCCTCCAGGGACCCATGGAGGATCCGGGACCCTGGAGAAGGGGGCTCCTGGGATCCCTGGCCCTTCCCTCCTCTGGCCTTTGGCCCATGAGGGTGAATCATGTGTGTGACTGACCAGGGGCAGAGACACATGGGGACAGAGATGGAGAGACAGACTGAGGGAGAGAGACAAACAGAGAGAGGAATGGGGGGGAGGAACAGAGTTACAGGAGGACCTGACCCTCTTCTGGGAAAACAGGGAGAGATGTGGGGTCCCAGGTGCTCCCCAGTGGGCTGCCTCTCCTCCCCTCCCCCCTGCCCACCAGGCAGGACCCTCAGGGAGCTCCAGCCTGGACCCGAGCCCTGACCCACCCTGACGCATCTGCACCAGGCCAGGCTGGACCTGTGGGGAGGGGGCAGGCCCTGCCCCAGCCCAGCCACTGCCCTGGGAACCCCTCCCCCGCCAAGATGCTGATGTAACATCCAGGATTTGATATTTTACTCTTACATTCTGCAAATCCAGACGCAGAAGATTTTAAGAGGCTGTTGCACCCTGTAATAAAGTGGGGGACACAGATCTTGGTCCTCGGGCGCCCCCTTCCCTTGGGGGGTTTCGGTCCCCCCCCACACACACACAGTCCCTTAGCCCGCGAGGAGGCCTGACGCCCTGCGGCCGCCGCCGGTCCCCGCCCCGGGCCGCCATTGGCTGTTGCCATGGCACCAGCCCGTCTTCCCGCGCCCTCATTGGCCGTCTCGCCCGCATCCCGCATCCCGCATCCTCCCCCCGCTCGCGGTGGTCTCGCCCAGCGGTAGGAGCGGCGGCGCTGCCTGCCCAGGCCCCGAGCGGGCTTTGTCCGCCCCGGAGCCCCTGCCCGTGCCACGGAGACCCCGGAGCCTGTGCTCCGAGGCCACCGGGCCGGGATTTCCGGTGGGGTCCGCGGAGCTGCGCAGAGGGAGGAGGCCCCACACCCGGGCACCCCGCCACCCCAGCTGCAAGTAAGCGGGTGTGGGTCCTCGGGGTGGAGGGCAGGGGGCGCGAGCTCCGCCTCGCGTCGAGGTTTTCCATTGCCCGTCAGCACAGACTCTGGGCCCTCCATTTCCCCAGGGTGGGAGCTGGAGGGGAAACTGAGTCCCAGTGAGTTGGGCCTCAGCATCTCTGCATCCGGTCCTGCGCACACACCCACTCGTGGGCTTCAACATCCGGACCTCCTGGAGGTGATCGGAGGGAGGGATGGACAGGCCTGCTGTGTGTCTAAGGGGGTGTTGCTGCACCTCTCTGGGCATCAGTTTCCCCCTCTGGAAAGACGGGGTTTGGATTAAAGGAAGGAGAAGGGCCCCTTTGGGTCTGGCTTCCCACCCGTGGGCTTCCCTCCCCTCCCCTCTCAATACGACCAGCCCCCAGCCATGGTGCCTTCAGGGAGTGAGCTCTCAGGAAGGCCCCCGGGAGGCTACAGTATGCAACCTGGGGCTGAAAGGCAGGCAGGAGGGCTTCGTGGAAGAAGGTGTACTGTGTGGGGTGGCAGGAGTTAGAAAAGGTGACCTGGCCAGGGCAACTGCGCATGCAAAGGCCTGAGAGAAGAGAGCCTCCAGTTTCCCAGGGCCTCGTGGTTACGTGGAGGAGTTGGAGCTTATCCTGAGGGCACTGGGGAGCCATGGGAGGTGTTTGAGCAGGGGAGTAATGAGATCTGACTTGTGACATTTCAAGCTCCCTCTGGCTGTGCATGAGGGATGGTGGGAGGCCAGGAAGAGACTGATCAGAATGTCCTGACAGAGAGGGGGTCAGGAGCTGGGGGAGGCACGATTCGCTGGGCAGAGCTTGGAGGGACCAGCTCAGTCTAATGAGGACCCAGAAGTGAGCACCGAGTGTGGGGAGAGGGAAGGTGTCTGGGGCTTGACTTGGGCCAGCTGAGAAGAGCCATGTAGGGGAGGCCTGTGTCTGGGGAGCAGGAGGGAGATGCGTGTTGTTTTCCACTTCATCTGCTCTTTCTGCCTGGCTGGGTATGGCATGGTGACCTCGGGTGGAACGCAGGGCCCCAGTCAGACCCCAGGGTCTCCCTGCATATGGCCCCCAACCCCAGGCCTGATCCCTGGTGGAGACCCCAACAGCCATGGACATCATCGAATCAGGATGGGAGGTGACGGCTGTGGTCCTCAGGCCGCCTGATTTCCAGTCCCCGTGCCCCTCCCACCCTGGCCTTGCCCACTTCTGCCCTGCAGAGGGGCAGCCCGAGGCGAGAGGGGGGCGGGTGTTGGGCCTCCAGCCTGAACTTCCAGCGCCTCCCAGGCAGGGTCTGGGTGCCAGTGATGTCGTGTTCCCTTCCTTACTGGGTCAGTTTCCCAGGGCCTCGGTCTCTCCCTCTGGGAACAGCTGACTGGTGGTCCCTAAGACTCAGGACAGACCAGGAATGAGCCACATGACACGGTGAGGCACATACTGGGTCCCCTGAGCAGGCGGGGACAGCCTGACCCCATCCTCCCACCTGGGACTGAGCTCCCTCCCCTACTCCTGTTCCAGCTGTGTCCCTGGTGACATCCAGGTGGGAGGGGAGGGGGTGGGGGGTCAGAGAATGAATAACAGGTGAATACATGTGTGTGGCCAGGTGGAGGAGGGAGGGGAGAAGCAGGTGGGCCGGACAGGGCCGGTGTGAGGAGGGGGCTCAGGCTGGCAGGGGGAGGTGGCGGAGCATGGGCTGCCATTGGTGCATCTGAGACAAAGGCGGAGGGAGGAGGCGAGCGCTGATGGGAAGGGAACAAAGAGGGAAGGGGGCGTGAGGGGGGCTCAGGCGGGAGGGCTGAGCCAAGGGAGGAGGCACCGGCCAGCTGGACAGAGGGAGGAGGCCAGGCTGGAGCCAGAAGGCAGCCAGAGGCACAAAGAAGCTAGTGGCACTGGCATAGCCAAGGGATGGGGCAGCCAGCCGGGACCAGCTGAAGGCTGCACGGAGGGTTCGGGCCACGCAGGTAGCCACCCTGAGCCGAGCCGGCGATGGGGGTGTGGGGCTGCTGGGGTGATGGTGGTGGGCTGGGGTTCGTCCGTCCAGCCGTTTCTGCACATCTTGGGTGTCACCCACTGACCTTCATGGTGTTTTTAGTGTCCATCAGCAGGGCCCACTGGTGGTCTGTCTGCCCAGCGTGCCTGGCTGTCAGCCTCTAGGCAGGCTGTGCTTTTGTGGGGGAGGGTCCTGTCTTTCTCTCTGTCTGTCGCCCTCTCTGGCTGTGAGCCTGGGGGTGCTGGGCTGGCCAGTCGGCCCACTAGGTTAGGCGGTCCCAGCTGTCAGGATGTGTCCTAGAGGCTGGGAAGGAGAGGCCGTCTGTCTGTCGGTTACCTGGTCAGTTGGACGTTCAGGTGTCTGTCCGTGGCCCCTCTGCCTCCCGTCGGGGCCACCTGTCTCATTTCACCTGCCCCTCTGCGCCCCGGATTCCCTGGACAGCACCTCCTGGGCCTGTACTGGTCCACACCAGTGACAACTGCCTGGGAATCCCAACCCAGGATCAGGCAGGAGGGCTGGGCCTTAGGTCAGGGGCCATCCGGAAGGCATCATGGCACCCTCCCCAGACCCACAGCTGAACCTTCTGACCCTGTGATTCCAGACGCTGCAGGAGCTGAAGATGACGAGCTCCGTGGCGTCCTACGAGCAGCTGGTGCGGCAGGTGGAGGCCTTGAAGGCCGAGAACAGCCACCTGAGGCAGGAGCTCCGGGATAACTCCAGCCACCTGTCCAAGCTGCAGACAGAGACGTCGGGCATGAAGGTGGGGGCCTGCATGGAGGAGGTGGCTAAGGTCCCAGGGGGTGGCCTCTGGCAGCCCAGTGCAGTGGCCAATGCCTCCCCACCCTTTTTCCCGTCCCTGCAGGAGGTGTTGAAGCATCTGCAGGGGAAGCTGGAGCAGGAGGCCCGAGTGCTGGTGTCCTCGGGACAGACGGAGGTGCTAGAGCAGCTGAAAGGTGAGCATTGGGGCCACGCGCGGAGGGAGCGAGGGAGGCTGAGGGGAGAGGCAGGCAGGGCCGCTGACCTCCGCCATCTCTGCCCATCCAGCCCTGCAGATGGACATCGCCAGCCTGTACAACCTCAAATTCCAGCCGCCTGCCCTGGGCCCGGAACCTGCTGCCCGGACCCCCGAGGGCAGCCCGGTACATGGCTCCGGGCCCTCTAAGGACAGCCTTGGGGAGCTGAGCCGGGCCACCATCCGGCTGCTGGAGGAACTGGACCGGGAACGGTGAGCGCACGTGGGACCCAGGCCTTGGGCAGCCAGGACGTGACTCCGCCCCCGACGGGCTCTGCCCTCGAATTCGTCCATCCGCATGTGGCCCCGCCCCCACACTCCCCACCCACTCGCATACGGCACCGCCCACCGAACAAACCCCGCCCACCTCAGCCTCTTCCCCACGTGGCTCTCCGCCCCCTCTACGGCCTGGCTGACAAAGATGGGGGAGGTTCCTGGCTGAGAGAAAGGCTCCTTGGCGACGTCCCCAGGGGTCCGGGACACGCAGGCGTCGCTAGGGACCAGGCTGTGTCCAGGGGCAGGGTTCAGCCAGGCCTGGAGCCAGAGGGGCTCAAAGCAATGTTTGTAGAGAGCGAGCCGTGACCCAGGAAACGTGGGCTCAGGGCCAGCAGAGGGAGGTAGGGTCCGCGCACTCTGTGCTGCTCAGCCCGGTCGTGTGGGGTCAGACGGGGCCATTGCGAGAGCAGCATGGAGTTGTCTGTGCTCTGCTGTGGGATCTCACTCAGCTCCCCTAAACCCTCCCAGCCTGACTCCTGCCCGGTAAAGTGGGAGTGGCCGTGTCTCCCACACGGGGTTAAGGGACATCTCTGTGGCACCTGGGGCACTTTGAGCCTGAAGCTGCCTTATAAGCTGAGAAGTGTTAGAGGCAGAACAGGCTCCCTCAGTCTCTCTTCAAGGATGAGAATTTCCAAAGGAAGTGCTTTTTTTTTTTTTTCTTTTCTTTTTTTTTGAGACGGAGTTTCATTCTTGTTGCCCAGACTGGAGTGCAATGGTGTGATCTTGGCTCACTACAACTCCCATCTCCCGTGTTCAAGCAATTCTCCTCCCGCAGCCTCCCGAGTAGCTGGGATTACAGATGTGAACGACCATGCCCGTCTAATTTTGTATTTTTTAGTAGAGATGGAGTTTCGCCATCTTGGCTGGTCTCGAACTCCTGACCTCAGGTGATGTGCCCACCTTGACCTCCCAAAGTGCTGGGATTACAGGCGTGAGCCACCGAGCCAGGCTGACTGGCTATTTAAAAAAAATTTTTTTTTCTTTTCATAGAGGGGTCTGGCTATGTCGCCCAGCATCCCCCAGTTAATTTCAGCACCCCCCGCTTACCCTGGCGTGGGGAGCGCCACGGAAAGACATTGTCTTGCTGCCTGCTAGACTTGGCATACAGTGAGCCCCAGCAAGTGACACGAACATCAAAATAAACGCCACATGTACACGGGGCCGCCCTCCCTGACCTTCTCCCCCAGGTGTTTCCTGCTGAATGAGATTGAGAAGGAGGAGAAGGAGAAGCTCTGGTACTACTCTCAGCTGCAGGGCCTGTCCAAGCGCCTGGAAGAGCTGCCGCACGTGGAGACGGTGAGCGAGCTGGGGAGCCAGGGGGCAGCGCGCCCGCCCCACCTCGAGTTGGGAAGCGGCTTGGGGAGGAATGGGACACAGCCCCGGCGCCCCTCACCGTGGCCGGCCCGCTGCGTGGGGAGGAAAGGGACCAAGCCCCGGCGCCCCTCACCGTGGCCCACCTGCAGCGTGGGGAGGAAAGGGACCCAGCCCCGGCGCCCCTCACCGTGGCCCACCTGCAGCGTGGGGAGGAAAGGGACCCAGCCCAGGCGCCCCTCACCGTGGCCGGCCCGCTGCGTGGGGAGGAAAGGGACCCAGCCCCGGCGCCCCTCACTGTGGCCCTCCCCCTGCGTGGGGAGGAAAGGGACCCAGCCCTGGCGCCCCTCACCGTGGCACTCCCGCTCTCCCCAGCAGTTTTCGATGCAGATGGACCTGATACGGCAGCAGCTGGAGTTCGAGGCCCAGCACATCCGCTCACTGATGGAGGAGCGCTTTGGCACCTCGGACGAGATGGTGCAGCGGGCGCAGGTGCGGCGGTAGGCGGGATCCTGTGCCAATGGGCGACTCGGAGTGCAGAGATTGTCATGGGCGGGGGCTGGGGTAATGCGAGGAGTTTTAGGTCTCCTGGGTTGGAGGGGTCTGGTTCAGGAGGCGGGGCCAGAAGCTGGAGGTGGTGGTGGGTGGTCAGAGGCGGCTTAGGGCAGCCTGAGCACAAGAGTGGTGCGAGGGGACAGTGGCTGGTGGCGTGGCCTGTGGGCCAGATCGGGGGTGGGTGGGGCCTAGAAGGACGAGGTCTAGGTTCTGGGTGGAGCCCAAGTGAGAAGTGGGAGGAGTCGGAGCCGGGGATGGGCTACATAGGGTGGGGGGCTAGAAGGATAAAGCAGGAGACAGTGGGTGGGGTCTTAGGGTACAGGCAGGGCTGGATCAGGGAGAAGGCAGAGTCAGTGTCCAGGTCATCCCCGGAAGAGGCAGGGTCAGAGCCCAGGATGCAGTTATTCCAGGTGGGGTCATCCAAGGGAGAAGCAGGGTTGGGGCCCAGGGCAAGGTCATTCCAGGGAGGTGGGGTCAGAGCTCAGGGTGGGGTCATCCCAGGCAGAAGGCGGGGTCAGAGCCCAGAGTGGGGATGGGGTGGGGGGGTCATCCCAGGGAGAGGCAAGATTAGAGCCTAGGACGGGGTCGGAGCCAGGGGCTGGGGTCATCCGAGGCAGAAGGCGGGGTCGGAGCCGGGGGCGGGACCATCCGAGGCAGAAGGCGGGGTCGGAGCCAGGGGCGGGGTCATCTGAGGCATAAGGCGGGGTCGGAGATGGGGGCGGGGCCATTCGAGGCCAAAGGTGGGGTTGGGGGCGGGGCCATCCAAGGCATAAGGCGGGGTCGGAGCCAGGGGCGGGTTCAGTCCCAGCACTAGCCCTGATGTTCTCCTGAGCAGATCCGCGCCTCGCGCCTGGAACAGATTGACAAGGAGTTGCTGGAGGCACAGGACCGAGTGCAGCAGACGGAGCCCCAGGTACTGGGTGGGGCGGAGCCAAGGCCCAGGCAGAACGGGACTCCTAGGGTCCCACTTGCCCCCACCCACATCATGGGCGAGCAGCTGGCATTAGCAGATTCGGTGCTTTTTGGGGTGCTCTTGGACTGTACCCCTGAGCCTGGTGCTCTCCGGCAGGCCTTGCTGGCGGTGAAGTCGATGCCGGTGGACGAGGACCACGAGACAGAGGTCCCCACACACCCAGAGGATGGCACCCCTCAGCCAGGCAACAGCAAGGTGAGGGGCAGGGTCCAACGTGAGTGGGAGTCGGTTGTCTGGGTTGGGGAGGATCGGACCTGCATCCCTGCCAGTTGTGGTGCCTTCCCACGCCTCCATCCAGCACCCCCTCGGGTGTAGGAAGCCCCCCCCACCGGAGTTCAGCTCATGGAGAAGCTGGGGGCCCGGCGAGGTGGATGGGGAAATGCGTCCCGTAGCTGGGGCCAGGGGTACCGTAGACATCCCTGTAGAGCCCCTTGACTGTGTACGGCCACCCTAGGAATGCCGGGTGAGGGGGTTTAGCCTCCCAGACCCCCAATCTGTCCCCCAGGTGTGCATGGGGCTGCTCTTGGGATGGGGCAGGGACAGGGCTCCGACCAGGTTTCCAGGTGTCCGGCGGCAGGTGAGGGACCCCCCACCCTGACCCTGATCCTTCCCTGCCCCCAGGTGGAGGTGGTCTTCTGGCTGTTGTCCATGTTGGCGACGCGTGACCAGGAGGATACTGCGCGCACGCTGCTGGCCATGTCCAGCTCGCCGGAGAGCTGCGTGGCCATGCGCCGCTCGGGCTGCCTGCCGCTGCTGCTGCAGATCCTCCACGGCACCGGCACTGAGGCCGGGGGTCGCGCCGGGGCTCCAGGGGCGCCGGGGGCCAAGGACGCGCGCATGCGTGCCAACGCGGCTCTGCACAACATCGTCTTCTCGCAGCCGGACCAGGGCCTGGCGCGCAAGGAGATGCGCGTCCTGCACGTGCTGGAGCAGATCCGCGCCTACTGCGAGACGTGCTGGGACTGGCTGCAGGCCCGGGAGGGCGGACCCGACGGAGGCGGAGCCAGTGGCGGTGAGTGCTGGGCCTTGGGGTGGGGGCGCCTGTGCAGTTAACGGGCAGCCAGGACTTCCTGTGGGGATGGGCGACTAAACCCTGCTGCCTTCTGGAGCTGGAGGCAGTTGACCTCAAAGGTAATCCAGGGGCTGGGCACGGTGACTCTCACTCCAGTAATTCCAGCACTTTGGGAGGCTGAAGCAGGAGAATTGCTTGAGCCCAAGGATCTGAGGCCGCAGTGATCTGAGGTCGCACCACTGCACTCCAGCCTGGGCAACTGAGGGAGACCTTGTCTCATAATTTTGATTTTTTTTTCGAGACGGAGTTTCGCTCTTGTTACCCAGGCTGGAGTGCAATGGCGCGATCTCGGCTCACCGCAGCCTCCGCCTCCTGGGTTCAGGCGATTCTCCTGCCTCAGCTCCCGAGTAGCTGGGATTACAGGCGCGCACCACCATGCCCAGCTAATTTTTGTATTTTTAGTAGAGACGGGGTTTCACCATGTTGATCAGGATGGTCTTGATCTCCTGACCTTGTGATCCACCCGCCTTGGCCTCCCAAAGTGCCGGGATTACAGGTGTGAGCCACCGCGCCTGGCCAATTTTTATTTTTTTAAAAAGGACAGGGGCACAGCTAACCCCAGGAACTACCTCACATCCCTTCCCAAGCTGAGTGAGGGAGGCCACCCCTTCATCCTGTCTTAAAGAGGTTGGGAAAAGAAGTCTCAGCTCTGCAGCCGTTTGCAAAGCTCCTGGGATTCTTCAGGCTTGGGGGGTGGGGACCTTTGGGAGTCGACTGGGACAGTTCTCAGGAACGAGGGGTCTGATCTGGTCCCTTTCCCACAGCCCCGGTCCCCATCGAGCCGCAGATCTGCCAGGCCACCTGTGCGGTGATGAAGCTGTCCTTTGATGAGGAATACCGCCGTGCCATGAACGAGTTAGGTGAGTGCCCCAGCTCCTCTGGGGAACCATCCTCCAGCCCCCCAGCAGGTGGTGTCTCCTCAGCTGCCAAGGGACAGAGGCTGGGCCATTTGAGCTTCTGGAGTCAGGGACATACTCCCTGGAGTCACCCAGCACCTGCTATGAGTGGACCGTCATTCTGGGTCCCCTCTCCCCATGAGCTGCCTGTGGCCTCCCAGTTTGGTTCAAGGCCTCTGGGGGTGGCTTTTCAGCCACAGTTTCCCTGGGGCTCAGAACACGAAACAGCAAAGATACAAGATATGCACAGAATCGGAGCTGTGGGTGGCGTTCTGTTTGGGGACATAACATCTTCTCTTTGTCAGTGTAACAGTAATTGAGGCAGGATAAGGCTGCTCAGAACTGTAATCCCAGCACTCGGGGAGGCTGAGGCAGGAGGATCGCTTTAGCCCAGGAGTTTGAGACCAGGCTGGGCAACATAGTAAGACCTCACGACTATTAAAAAAAAAAAAAAAAAAAACTAGTGCTAGCTATGAGGCTGAGGTGGGATGATTGCTTGAGCTCAGGTGGTCAAAGGTACCGTGAGCCATGATCGTGCCCCTGCACTCCAGCCTGGGCAAGAGGCAGACCCCATCTAAAAAACAAAAATCTTCAGAGCCATAACTTTTTTTAATTTTATAGAGATGGGGTTTCACCAAGTTGGCTAGGCTGTGCTCGAACTCCTGACCTCAGGTGATCCACCTGCCTTGGCCTCCCAAAACTGCCAGGATCACAGGCGTGAGCCACTGCGCCCGGCCAACTTTTTCTTTTCAAGACAGAGTCTCGCTCTGTCGCCCAGGCCGGAGTGCAGTGGCGCGGTCTCGGCTCACTGTAACCTGTGCCTCCTGGGTCAGGCGATTCTCCTGCTTCAGCCGCTGCACCAGCCGAAGCCCGGCTCCTTCCTGAGGCTGCAGGATGGGCTGCGCTGACTGACACATTGTGCTCCTATTGACACTCCAGTGGCTCCCAATCCTGGCTGCTGGGACTCGTGCTGTGTCAACATGGTGTACCCATTTCACTCTGACACAGCCCCTAACTCACTTCCCCTAAGGGCGTCTCCACTGACCCACCCCTGGCCTGAGAACACATTTGCCTCCGTCTTCTCTGAAGGGGAGAGAAGTCACAGCTCTGTGCTGGGGACACAGCTCTCCATCTGATGGTCTTGTGTGACTCGGGGGCCTTCCCTAAGGCACCTATCACACAGGGCAGGGAAGAGCATTCCGGGCAGGGGGAGCAGGTGCAGCGGCCCAGCGGCTGGAGGAAGTGTGAGCCAGGCTGAGGGCTGCAGGAGGCAGGGGTGGCAGTCACAGGGCAATGGCGGTACCCCCCGTGGGTTTGGCAGCAGGGTGAGGCCGTACCAGCTGCTGGAGGAGGGCTCAGAGTTGAGCCTGGAAGGGGGCTTAAGAGGGGAGGTATGGGGGTAGGAAGGGCATCTGGGCAGGAGCAGTAGGTGGGCACAGGCTGGGGGAAGCAAGGCAGGGTTGTCCCGCCGTCTGCCAACCTCACCGGGTCCCCACAGGTGGGCTGCAGGCCGTGGCGGAGCTGCTGCAGGTTGACTACGAGATGCACAAGATGACCCGGGACCCGCTGAACCTGGCGCTGCGCCGCTACTCGGGCATGACCCTCACCAACCTCACCTTCGGGGACGTGGCCAACAAGGTGCCTGGGGCAGCCGGTTGGTGGGGCTGGCACGCTCCTCATCCAGGCTTGCAGGGGCAAGCTGAGCCTCCTTCCAGTCTTCATCCTGGCCTTGAAACAGCCTGGGAGCTGGGGCCAGTTGTCCCCAATTTACAGACGGGTAGACTGAGGCCCAGAGCGAGGTTGGTGGGGCGGTGGGAGCCCATGCTGAACTTCCTCCGCCCAGCCATGTCCTCACAGCTGCCTGCAGAACACGCGCCTCATCTTAGAGGGGGCCTCTGGGACCCAGAGGCCGTGTGTCCGCCCTGGTCAGGGCCTCAGTTTCCTGACCTGAGCATGGGCTAACCCTCCCCTGTGGCGCTCAGGACCAGCAGGGTTCCAGGTTTGCAGCTGTAGCACACAGCCAGGGCTGGAAGGTGACAGGCATGGTCTCCTTGCTCCACCCAATGACCCTGGCTATGTCACCCCGTCACAGGCCACCCTGTGTGCACGCCGGGGCTGCATGGAGGCCATCGTGGCCCAGCTGGCCTCAGACAGCGAGGAGCTCCACCAGGTACAGGGCGCTGGGCAGCCTTCCATGGCATCCCTGTTGGGCAGGGGCCCCTCCCCAGGGTGTGATGGGCTGGAGGGGGGTTCCCGCCCGACTCTGTGCAGCGTGACACTTGCTGTAGGGCCTGGACCCTAGTCCCACCACACCTGCCCCTCACCCTGCCCAGGTGGTGTCCAGCATCCTCCGCAACCTCTCCTGGCGGGCCGACATCAACAGCAAGAAGGTGCTGAGGGAGGCGGGCAGTGTGGCCGCCCTGGTGCAGTGCGTCCTGCGGGCCACCAAGGTGGGCACTTTGTGGGTCACAGGGGTTGAGGTAGGGGAGCAGCCATGGTTCTTCAGTCACTGGGTAGGGAGACGACGGCGGCAGGGGGTGAGCTCTCCGACTTGGGAAGAAACCAAGTTGAACAACTCACTGCTTAGCAGGTTGTTCAGCCTCAGGCGGGCGGCATCTCCCTCTTCCTGTCACTGCTCTTTGAGAGTGAGTGTAAGCTGGGCGCGGTGGCTCACTTCACATCAGGAGTTCTAGACCATTTGGCCAACATGGTCAAATCCTGTCTCTACGAGAGAAAAAAAAAAATCAGCCAGGCATGGTGGCGCGTGCCTGTAATCCCAGTTACTCAGGAGGGTGAGGAAGGAGAATCCCTTGAACCTGGGAGGCTGAGGTTGCAGTGAGCTGAGACTGCACCACTGCACTCCAGTCTGGGTGACAGCAAGACTGCATCTCAAAAAAAAAACACCTCACTGATGGACGAGCTCGGTGGCTCATGCCTGTAGTCCCACCTCCTTGGGAGGCCAAGGCAGGAGGATCACCTGAGGTCAGGAGTTCAAGACCAGCCTGGTAAAACTCCCCCCATCTCTACAAAAAATACAAAAAAATTAGCCGGTGGTGGTGGTGGCGCGTGCCTGTAATCCCAGCTGCTTGGGAGGCTGAGGCAGGAGAATCACTTGAACCCGGGAGGCAGAGGTTGCAGTGAGCTGAGATTGCACCATTGTACTCCACAGCCTGGGCAACAAGAGCGAAAGTCCGTCTCAAAAAAAAAAAAAATTCACAGAAAAGCTGGTGTGGGAGCCTTTCCTCCCGCCCCACTCAGGCCCTGATCTGCCCCTCCCGCCCCCACCCAGGAGTCCACCCTGAAGAGCGTGCTCAGCGCCCTGTGGAACCTGTCTGCGCACAGCACGGAGAACAAGGCGGCCATCTGCCAGGTGGACGGCGCCCTGGGCTTCCTGGTGAGCACCCTGACCTACAGGTGCCAGAGCAACTCGCTGGCCATCATCGAGAGCGGCGGCGGCATCCTGCGCAACGTGTCCAGCCTGATCGCCACGCGGGAGGACTACAGGTCAGCCCCCACCCAGGCAGTGGCCTCGGGGCACGTGGGCGGGCAGGGAGGGGTCTGGACTGGGCACTGTCCTCCCATGAACGGACGGTCCCAAGGCTTCCCAGGGACTGCTATTATCAGCATAAGTACCTCCCAAACCCTGCCTGAGATACACCAAAATGCAGATTACATTAAAAATGCCTTCAGGCCGGGCACGTTGGCTCACGCCTGTAATCCCAGCACTTTGGGAGGCCGAGGCGGGTGGATCACGAGGTCAAGAGATCGAGACCATCCTGGTCAACATGGTGAAACCCCGTCTCTACTAAAAATACAAAAAATTAGCTGGGCATGGTGGCGCGTGCCTGTTAATCCCAGCTACTCGGGAGGCTGAGGCGGGAGAATTGCCTGAACCCAGGAGGCGGAGGTTGCGGTGAGCCGAGATCGCGCCATTGCACTCCAGCCTGGGTAACAAGAGCGGAACTCCGTCTAAAAAATAAAAATAAAAAATGCCTTCAAGCTGGGCGGGATGCCTCAGACCTGAAATGCCAGCACTTGGGAGGCAGGAGGATCACCTGAGCCCAGGAATTTGAGACCAGCCTGGCCAACATAATGAGACCCCTGTCTCTACTTGAAATACACACCAGGCGCGGTGGCTCATGCCGGTAATCCCAGCCAGCTGGGACACTGAGGGAGGACAGTCCCTTGAACTTGGGAGGTGGAGGTTTTATAGAGCTGAGATCACACCTAGCACTCCAGCCTGAGCAAGGAGTGAAACTCCATGCCCCCCCCGGCCCCCACACAAAAAAATTGCCCGGCACGATGGTTCACGCCTGTAATCCCAGCACTCTGGGAGGCTGAGACGGCTGGATGACCTGAGGTTGGGAGTTTGAGACCAGCCTGACCAACACGGAGAAACTCATCTCTACTAAAAATACAAAATTATCGGGGTATGGTGGCACATACCTGTCATCCCAGCTACTCGGGAGGCTTAGGCTTGAACCTGGGAGGCGGAGGTTCCGGTGAGCTGAGATCTCGCCACTGCACTCCAGCCCGGGCGACAAGAGTGAAACTATCTCAAGGAAGAAAGAAAAGAAAAAAAGCAATGAGCTGGGCTTGGTGTGCGCCTGTAGTTCCAGCTACTTGAGAGGCTGAGGTAGAAGGATGGCTGGAGCACAGGAGGCTGAGGCTGCAGTGAGCCGTGATGGCCTCCAGCCTGGCGACAGGATGAGACCCCGTCTCAAGTTTATTTTAAAATCGATACGTCTTCCTTAAAACATTTATTAATGAGGAACATCTATGAAAATAAACATACGGCCGGGCGCGGTGGCTGAAGCCTGTAATACCAGCACTTTGGGAGGCCGAGACGGGTGGATCACAAGGTCAAGAGATCGAGACCATCCCGGTCAACATGGTGAAACCCCGTCTCTACTAAAAATACAAAAATTAGCTGGGCACGGTGGCGCGTGCCTGTAATCCCAGCTACTCGGGAGGCTGAGGCAGGAGAATTGCCTGAACCCAGGAGGCGGAAGTTGCAGTGAGCCGAGATCGCGCCATTGCACTCCAGCCTGGGCAACAAGAGCGGAACTCCGTCTCAAAAAAAAAAAAAAAAAAAGAAAAGAAACATACTTTTAATTGAAGTGCATTCCACATATTACCCGGCTTCGCTTCTGCTAAAACTAACTTACTGGCCGGGCGCCGCGGCTCACGCCTGTCATCCCAGCACTGTGGGAAGCTGAGGTGGGCGGGTCACTGGAGGTCAGGAGTTCAAGACCAGCCCGGCCAACGTGGAGAAGCCCCATCTCTACTAAAAATACAAACTTTAGCCGGGGCGGGGGGTGGCACCTGTAATCCCAGCTACTTGGGAGGCTGAGGCCAGAGAATCGCTTGAACCCAGGAGGAAGAGGCTGCAGTGAGCCAAGACGGCGCCACTGCACTCCAGCCTGGGTGACAAGAGCAAGACTCTGTCTTAAAAAATAACAAAAACAAACAAAATACAGAAATCAGCCGGGCATGGTGGCACACACCTGTAATCCCAGCTACTTAGAAGGCTGAGGCAGGAGAATCCCTTGAACCCGGGACATGGAGGTTACAGTGAGTCAAGATCACGCCATTGCACTCCAGCCCGGGCAACACGAGTGAAACTCCGTCTCAGGAAAATAAAATCATTAAAATTAAACAGTTAAGTAATATTTTATTAAAAATATGTAGATATTTATAAAAACACAAAATAGTATTTTTAGCTGGTCATCGTGGCTGATGCCTGTAATCCCAGCACTTTGGGAGGCTGAGGTGGGAGGATCATCTCAGCCAAGGAGTTGGAGGCTGCCGTGAGCCATGAGCCCTGCAGTGCACTCCACGCTGTATGACAGAGGGAGCCTCTGTCTCAGAAAAATAGATACAGGCAGAATCCATCTAACTATATCCCCAGTATCACAGAGAATATATTCTTCATGCTGTTTTTTACTTACTTTTTTTTTTTTTTTTTTGAGACGGAGTCTTGCTCTGTCCCCAGGCTGGAGTGCAGGGGCTCGAACTCAGCTCACAGCAGCCTCCACTCCTGGGTTCAAGTGGTTTTTCTGCCTCAGCCTCCTGAGTAGCTGGGACTACAGGCAGGCACTACCATGCCCGGCTAGTTTTTGTTATTTTTAGTAGAGGCGGAGTTTCACCACATTGGTCAGGCTGGTCTTGAACTCTTGCCCTCAGGTGAGATCCGCTTACCTCGGCCTCCCAAAGTGCTGGGATTACAGGTGTGAGCCAATGCGTCTGGACTTTTAATGCCATCTCAAAAAATAAAAATAAATACAATTTGGCGGGGCGCGGTGTAATCCCAGCACTTTGGGAGGCCGAGGCGGGTGGATCACGGGGTCAAGAGATCAAGACCATCCTGGTCAAAAAGGTGAAACCCCGTCTCTACTAAAAATACAAAAAATTAGCTGGGCATGGTGGCGCGTGCCTGTAATCCCAGCTACTCGGGAGGCTGAGGCAGGAGAATTGCCTGAACCCAGGAGGCGGAGGCTGTGGTGAGCCGAGATCGCGCCATTGCACTCCAGCCTGGGTAATGAGAGCGAAACTCCGTCTCAAAAAAAATAATAATAATAAAATAAAATAAACAAATACAATTTATTTTTAGTGTCTCTCATGCAAATCGTTAGGATACACTTATACCAAAAATCAGTCTTTCCGCAATCCAAACCTAACAAGTCGCGTTCACTTTTCCCTGGCACGTCCGGCCTCCCACCCCTGGGTGGGCAGGGGGTGGCCCAGGCTGACGCTCCCTGTGCCCGCAGGCAGGTGCTCCGGGATCACAGCTGTCTGCAGACGCTGCTGCAGCACCTGACCTCGCACAGCCTGACCATCGTGAGCAACGCGTGCGGCACGCTCTGGAACCTGTCAGCCCGCAGCGCGCGCGACCAGGAGCTGCTGTGGGACCTGGGCGCCGTGGGCATGCTGCGGAACCTGGTACACTCCAAACACAAGATGATCGCCATGGGCAGCGCCGCCGCCCTGCGCAACCTGCTGGCCCACAGGCCCGCCAAGCACCAGGCGGCCGCCACCGCCGTGTCCCCGGGCAGCTGCGTGCCCAGCCTGTACGTGCGCAAGCAGCGGGCGCTGGAGGCCGAGCTGGACGCGCGGCACCTGGCGCAGGCGCTGGAGCACCTGGAGAAGCAGGGCCCACCCGCCGCCGACGCCGCTGCTAAGAAGCCGCTGCCACCCCTGCGACACCTGGACGGCCTGGCTCAAGACTACGCTTCCGACTCAGGGTGCTTTGACGACGACGATGCGCCGTCATCCCTAGCCGCGGCTGCGGCCACTGGGGAGCCGGCCAGCCCCGCAGCACTGTCACTGTTCCTGGGCAGCCCCTTCCTGCAAGGGCAGGCGCTGGCCCGCACCCCGCCCACGCGCCGCGGTGGCATGGAGGCGGAGAAGGAGGCCAATGGGGAGGCCGCCGTGGCGGCCAAGGCCAAGGCCAAGCTGGCGCTTGCAGTGGCGCGCATCGACCAGTTGGTGGAGGACATCTCCGCCCTGCACACCTCCTCCGACGACAGCTTCAGCCTCAGCTCTGGGGACCCCGGGCAGGAGGCGCCACGGGAGGGCCGTGCCCAGTCCTGCTCACCATGCCGTGGCCCCGAGGGCGGGCGGCGAGACGCAGGCAACCGGGGACACCCACTGCTGCGGCTCAAGGCGGCCCACGCCAGCCTCTCCAATGACAGCCTCAACAGCGGCAGTGCCAGTGATGGGTACTGCCCACGCGAGCACATGCAGCCCTGCCCGCTGGCCGCACTAGCTTCGCGCCGCGAGGACCCCAGGTGTGGGCAGCCTCGGCCCAGCCGGCTTGACCTTGACCTGCCAGGCAGCCAGGGTGAGGCCCCCGCCAGGGAGGCCGCATCCGCCGACGCCCGTGTGCGCACCATCAAGCTGTCGCCCACCTACCAGCACGTGCCGCTGCTCGAGGGTGCCACGAGGGCGGGTGCAGAGCCCCTCGCGGGGACTGGGTCCCGAAAGCAGGCCTGGCTGCCGGCAGACCATCTGAGCAAGGTTCCCGAGAAGCTGGCGGCGGCCCCACTGTCCGCGGCCAGTAAGGCGCTGCAGAAGCTGGTAGCGCAGGAGGCGCCGCTCTCGCTGTCCCGATGCAGCTCCCTCTCCTCGCTGTCCTCCGCAGGCCGCCCAGGCCCCAGCGAGGGCGGTGACCTGGATGACAGTGACTCCTCCCTGGAGGGACTGGAGGAGGCAGGCCCTGGCGAGGCTGAGTTGGACAGCGCGTGGACAGCGCCCGGGGCCGCCTCCCTGCCCGTAGCCATCCCGGCTCCCCGGCGTAGCCGAGGCCGGGGCCTGGGGGTGGAGGACGCCACGCCGTCCAGCTCCTCAGAGAACTACGTGCAGGAGACGCCGCTGGTGCTGAGCCGCTGCAGCTCCGTGAGCTCGCTGGGCAGCTTCGAGAGCCCGTCCATCGCCAGCTCCATCCCCAGTGACCCCTGCAGCGGGCAGGGCAGCGGCACCATCAGCCCTAGCGAGCTGCCCGACAGCCCTGGGCAGACCATGCCGCCAAGCCGGAGCAAGACGCCGCCGCTGGCGCCCGTGCCAGCAGGTGCCCCCGAGGCCAGCCAGTTCAGCCTGCAGTGGGAGAGCTACGTGAAGCGCTTCCTGGACATCGCGGACTGCCGTGAGCGCTGCCGGCTCCCATCGGAGCTGGACGCGGGCAGCGTGCGCTTCACCGCGGAGAAGCCGGATGAGAACTTCTCGTGCGCCTCCAGCCTCAGCGCGCTGGCCCTGCACGAGCACTACGTCCAGCAGGACGTGGAGCTGCGGCTGCTGCCCTCGGCCTGCCCGGAACGCGGCGGGGGTGCGGGGGCCGCCGGCCTCCACTTCGCAGGGCACCGCCGGCGGGAGGAGGGGCCCGCGCCCACCGGCTCTCGACCCCGTGGGGCCGCGGACCAGGAGCTGGAGCTGCTGCGGGAGTGCCTGGGGGCCGCCGTGCCTGCCCGGCTGCGCAAGGTGGCCTCAGCGCTGGTGCCAGGTCGCCGCGCGCTGCCCGTGCCCGTCTACATGTTGGTGCCCGCTCCGGCCCCGGCCCGGAACCAGGAGGAGGACTCCTGTACCGACTCCGCGGAGGGCACGCCGGTCAACTTCTCCAGCGCCGCCTCCCTCAGCGACGAAACGCTGCAGGGACCCCCCAGAGACCAGCCTGGGAAACCAGCGGGCAGGCAGAGACCCACCGGCCGCCCCACCTCGGCCAAGCAGTCCGTCGGGCACCGGCGCAAGGCGGGAGGCGCCGGCCGCAGCGCGGAGCAGGCCCAGGGTGCAGGCAAGAACCGAGCGGGGCTGGAGCTGCCCCTGGGCCGGCCCCCGAGCGCCCCCGCAGACAAGGACGTCTCAAAGCCCGGCCGGACCCGCGGGGACGGGGCGCTCCAGTCGCTGTGCCTCACGACACCCACTGAGGAGGCCGTGTACTGCTTTTACGGCAATGACTCCGACGAGGAGCCCCCTGCGGCCGCACCGACGCCCACCCACCGGCGCACGTCTGCCATTCCCCGCGCGCTCACGCGGGAGCGCCCGCACGGCCGGAAGGAGGCCCATGCCCCGTCCAAGGCAGCGCAGTCTGCCCTCCCGCCCGCCCGGGCCCAGCCCAGCCTCATCGCAGACGAGACCCCGCCCTGCTACTCCCTGAGCTCCTCGGCCAGCTCCCTGAGTGAGCCCGAGCCCCCAGAGACACCGGCACCGCCGTCCGTCCGTCCACGAGGACGGGAGCCTTCGATCACCAAGGACCCAGGCCCGGGGGGCAGCCTTGACAGCTCGCCCAGCCCTCGGGCCGCGGAGGAGCTGCTGCAGCGCTGCATCAGCTCGGCCCTGCCCAGACGCCGGCCCCCCGTGTCCGGCCTGCGGCGCCGCAAGCCCCGTGCCACGCGGCTGGATGAACGGCCGGCAGACGGATCCCGGGAGCGCGGCGAGGAGGCAGCGGGTTCGGACCGGGCCTCAGACCTGGACAGCGTGGAGTGGCGAGCCATCCAGGAGGGCGCCAACTCCATCGTCACGTGGCTGCACCAGGCGGCGGCTGCCACGCGCGAGGCATCATCTGAGTCTGACTCCATCCTGTCCTTCGTATCTGGGCTGTCGGTGGGCTCCACCCTACAGCCCCCCAAGCACAGGAAGGGACGACAGGCGGGAGGCGAAACCGCCAATGCCCGGCGGCCAGAGAAACGGGGCACAGCCTCAGCCAAGACCGGAGGGAGCTCCCGTTCCCCTGCGGGCCCTGAGAAGTCACGTGGCACACAGAAGACCACGCCCGGGGTGCCCGCTGTGCTCCGGGGACGAACGGTCATCTACGTGCCCAGCCCAGCACCCCGGGCCCAGCCCAAAGGGACTCCCGGCCCCCGCACCACACCGCGGAAGGTGGCGCCCCCTTGCCTGGCACAGCCCGCGGCTCCAGCCAAAGTCCCCAGCCCCGGACAGCAGCGGTCAAGGAGCCTACACCGGCCCGGCAAGACCTCGGAGCTGGCGACGCTGAGCCAACCCCCTAGGAGCGCCACACCACCCGCCCGCCTCGCCAAGACCCCCTCCTCCAGCTCCTCTCAGACCTCGCCCGCCTCCCAGCCCCTGCCCAGAAAGCGCCCCCAAGTTACCCAGGCTGCTGGGTCCCTGCCCGGCCCCGGGGCCTCCCCGGTGCCCAAGACGCCGGCGCGCACCCTCTTGGCGAAGCAGCACAAGACACAGAGGTCGCCCGTGCGGATCCCGTTCATGCAGAGACCAGCCCGGCGGGGGCCGCCAGCGCTGGCTCGGGCAGTCCCGGAGCCGGGCCCCAGGGGCCGGGCGGGGGCCGAGGTGGGCCCGGGAACGCGCGGGGGCCGCCTGGGCCTCGTGCGCGTGGCCTCGGCCCTCTCCAGCGGCAGCGAGTCCTCCGACCGCTCGGGCTTCCGGCGACAACTGACCTTCATCAAGGAGTCGCCCGGCTTGCGGCGCCGCCGCTCGGAGCTGTCCTCGGCCGAGTCCGCGGCCTCTGCCCCCCAGGGCGCCTCGCCCCGCCGCGGCCGACCCGCGCTGCCCGCGGTCTTCCTCTGCTCCTCGCGCTGCGAAGAGCTCCGAACGGCGCCCCGGCAGGCCGCGTCCCCGCAGCGGCCCCCCGCGACCCGACCCGGCCCCGGCGAGCGCCCGGCCCGGCGCACCAGCTCCGAGAGCCCGTCCCGCCTGCCCGTGCGCGCGCCCGCCGCCCGGCCCGAGACGGTCAAGCGCTACGCGTCGCTGCCCCACATCAGCGTGGCCCGCAGGCCGGACAGCGCCGCCCCCCTGGCCCCCGCCCCCACCGACGCCGCGCGCCGCAGCAGCGACGGGGAGCCCCGGCCGCTCCCCAGAGTGGCCGCGCCAGGCACGACGTGGCGGCGCATCCGAGACGAGGACGTGCCCCACATCCTTCGCAGCACGCTGCCCGCCACGGCCCTGCCACTGCGAAGCTCCACGCCCGAAGACGCCCCGGCTGCGCCCCCGCTGCGCAAGACCAGCGATGCAGTCGTCCAGACAGAGGAGGTCGCTGCCCCCAAGACCAACTCCAGCACGTCCCCGAGCCTGGAGAGCAGGGAGCCCCCCGGAGTCCCCGCCGGCGCCCCGCTCTCCCTCCTCGGCAGCGACGTGGACGGGCCCGGCCTCACCAAGGCTCCCATCTCCGCACCCTTCGTGCACGAGGGCCTGGGGGTTGCCGTAGGGGGCTTCCCCGCCAGTCGGCACGGCTCCCCCAGCCGCTCGGCCCGAGTACCCCCCTTCAATTATGTGCCCAGCCCCATGGTGGCTGCAGCCACCACCGACTCAGCCGCGGAGAAAGCCCCGGCCACCGCCTCGGCCAGTCTCCTGGAATAGTGGCCTAGGCCGGCCCTCTGGAACGTTCTCTCCCGGCCCTGCGGCCCGGTCTGGCTGCCCCGTGGGCCTGCGCTGTAGATGCCCCCCCGTAGGTCGCCCCAGGGCCTCTGCCCAGCTGAGCCCCACCACCCTCTGAGCCCCCGCCCAGCGCAAGGGGGCTTCGTGCCTCACCAGAAGACCTTGGCTCTGTGCCGCGGCGTCGAATCCCGGCCGTGAGGTGCTGGCAAGGGCGCCCTGGCCCAGCTGTGACGCGCGGCCCTTCCCCTGTCGGGAGCCGCTGCCTGACCCCGGGCGAGGAAGGGGACAGCCTCTGTGTCTGGGTCCAGGTCCGCTGCTTCCGAGGGGGCGGCACTGGGGAGATGGCAGCGCCCGCCGCAGGTAGAGGGCGGCGCTAAGCGGGCCCGCCAGCTGGGGGCCCCGCGGCGCGCAGGGGCGAAGCCTGTAATTACGGCAGCCGCGGCTAATGCGCTAATGAGGGCTTTGCAGGCTTTGTTTTCATCTTGAGCCCCAGCTGTGGAGTGCGGGGTGGGGTGGCCGAGCCCCGCCCAGATGGTGTTCAGGGAGCCCGGAGCCAAGCTCCCCTATGGAGCCGAGAGGGCAGGGTGGGAGGGGCAGCAGCCAACAGATCCCCAGGCCTGCTGCACCCCTTGGCGGAAGACTGGAAGGCAGGGGGATGCGCACGATGGGAGAGGACCCTGGTGCAGACGGCGGGACGGCTGACACTTAGACCCCAGAGATGCTGGCTGCCAGCTGGGGCGACCCCAGGGGTCGCTGGGGTCAGATCGTCCCGGCCTAGCCCAGCCCCGGCGGGTGAGACCAATGGTAAGGAGACTGAGGCCCTGGGTCCTGGGTCCCGCGCTGGACTCTACCCAGCGGAGGCTGCACTTACGGAGATCACCATATGTGGGCGCGGTCAGTGCCCAGGACTGCGCCTTTGCTGACCTCGTCCCTGTTCTGTTCCCTTGTGGTTCATGATGCATAAATCGTAAGCCCTAGGCCTCGGGACAGCACGGCGGGGGCCCTGGGGACCACCCTCGCCCTGCACTCGGGACTCTGGGACGAGGCGGGAGGTCCGGGGGCCGCAGACGAACACAGGGCTGGGGAGTATCTGGTGCCAAATGAGGCGAAAGCTGGCAGAGGGGCCTGCGGGCTCAGGTGCTTCAGCCCCTGGCCGGGAGCCGGGCGTTGTGCATGGGGCGGGGCTCCGGGACTGGGGCAACGCCTCGTCCTGCAGAGGGAGCCAACGACCTCTCTTCTGCAGAATCCCAGCCTGGGCAGGCGCTGCCTTCACGCGCGGATCTGCCCGGGCCGAGGGCACACGCTCACTGCCCCACGGGCCTTCTCCGGGAGGAGGGAAGCAGTTTGAGGGCTGGGTGGATGGAAACTGCGGCCCGGCCACGGATATCACCATCCCTCCTGACCCGTCCCCAGCATGCACGGGGCCAGCCTTCTGGCAGGAGCTGTCCTCAACCCAGGACTGCTGAGTGAAGCTGACCCTGGCTTGTACCCCCACTTAATGCTGCTGCTCCTCTGTCACGCTGCATCCTCTGCTCTGGGCCCGAGCCCTGCCTGAGTCACCGAGGAGGCACCACCACCAGGGGCTAGAGGTGCCAAACACTCCCTCCTAAAACCCCGCGGCCAGGCGAGGCTGCGCACGTCGGGTGGTTCTGAGTGAAGAGGCCGCAGGTGGCTGAACAGAAAGCGGAGAGAATGCAGGCGAGTGGGGCGACCTCCCGCCCCCTCTTCAGGACATGGGCGGTTGGGGGGATCTCAAACTTGCTGTCCCCACCCACGGCTTGAGGGGGACCCGGGTGTTCTCTTCCGAGCTTTTGGAGTTCAGGATGTCAAATGTGCTCACCCTCACCCCAGTGAGCCGCGTCCCACATGGCCAGGGTGTAGGGAAACCAGACAGCGGCAGGTTGCTGGTGGCAGGGCCAGGCTGTGAGGGACGAGGTGCAGCAGCCTCCCACGCACTGTGAGACCCTGGGTGGTGCTCTCCTGGCTCCGTGCCTGTTTCCCCACGTGGGCCGTGGGGAACTCCTAGAGCTACCTCTTGGGCACGCATGGTGGCAGCGATGATGGGGAGACGCCCGGTGCTCACAGAACTTGAGTCTGGCCGGACCCTGCCCATGCTGCCTCTTCTCTGACCAGCCCTGGGCACTTACTCCCTCCAAGGCTGAGCCAGAGGACCCGACCCGCCTTGCCCAGCAGCAGGGTGCCCAGCACGGCTGCTGGCCCCGTCTCCCACCGTCACCCCGAGTCCTGAGCTCACTTCTGCCTTCTGCACCCCCTGCCTCTGGGGCCACAGACACACCTCAAGGCCCGGTCTTGGCTGTCTCCAGGAGGACACAGGCAGCCAGCAGTCTCTGGACAATCAGATCCAGGTGGGACGCCCACCTCAAGGCTTCCATCCCACTTCGGCCCCTGCCTGCCACCCGGCTTCCCTGCACCAGGGTGACAAGGGGTCTGCCTGCCCCCTGACTCCGGGGCCAGTCCTAAGAAATGGAGGGTGTCAGGCTTCGGGGCCAGGATGCAGGGAGGGCGGAGGCGTCCTGAGGATGACAGTGACCAGCACTGGCCCCCCCAACACCGCCACATGTGGGTGCTGAACTTGGGACACCATGCCCACCGGCATGGGCCACCCGAGCTCTGACAGCATTACCTCACCCCGCCCCACCTGTTGCCCCAGCCCAGCCCCCATGACACGCCTGGTCTGTCTGCGAGTCCTCCAGCTGCTGCCCCTTGTTTCTGTACCGGGTCTCTGCAGTGTTAAACGCACATGTAAATAGGGACAGCCTGTCCTCCCCTAAATGTAAAGCCGCCTGTCCAGTGTAAGGGTGACACCGGCCAGCCGTCTGCACACCTTTAATAAACTGAGCTGTGCAACTGCCCGGCGCCATCGCTGCTGTTCCTCAGATGGGCTGCAGGTGGGGTCGGGGGTGGGGGGTGGGTTCATCACAGTCTACATGGTGCCCCAGAATCCCTGAGAAGACCCCACCCCAGGTCAGGTCCCTGGAAGCAGAGCCTGCGAGCAGAGGGTTTACTTGGGGGCACCCCCAGATGGGCAGGGGAGGCACTGGGTGAGGCCAGGAGTCTCCCCCTGGTCCCGAGGGAGGGTGGGCTCCGGGGGTGCACACACCCCAGCCAGGCGATCCCACCTACGTCCAATACCTGGGCAGTTATTACAGCAGGGCCCAGCGTGGGGAAGCGGGCACCCGAGAGCCACCAGGAGCTGCGGCAGCTGCAACAGCTGGGAGGGAGCCACACGTACACAGGCTGGGGGAGGAGGGACGGCCCCACGTCAAAGCCACTGTCAGGGAGCACAGCCCTGGCCCAGCGGGGGACAAGGAAGGCTTTGACTGGCAGCAGCACAGGGCTACAAGGCGGGAAGGGCTGACAGGAGCCGCTCCCCTGCCCACCGTCCACCCTGGGACCCCACCGGGACCTCCCCTGGCCAGGTGAGCAGCTCACAGGAGGGACCAGTGAGAGGCCGCCAGGGCCCGGGCTGGGTTAGGCGCCTCCCAGGCTGTGTGGCAGGCCCCCTGCCTTCAGGGAACAGGCGGCATCCTCTGTGTTCCAGAAACAAAGCCGGCTGTGGATCTGGCGAGGGCCAGGCAGCCCCAGGTCTCTGGGCCCGGTGGACGGTCCCTACACGCAGCGCTAGGCTGGGCTGGGCAGCATTCCTGGGGTCGCCGGCACGTGTCCCTCCCCAGCTTCCAGAGCCCCAGGATGGCGCTGCCCACAGAGGCGCCGTTCAGACAGCCGCACACACAGGAAGGCGTTTATGTGCAGGGCCGGCCTCGGGGGCGCCTCGTCCAGGTTTCCACTCCAGCTGACATACAGGATGAAAGGCCCTTGGCGAGACTTCCATCTTAGCGCCCCTTCCCCTGGGAGGGCCAGAACCCGCGGGGAGCAGGCCCGGGACCTGCTCTAGCCAACAGGGTGGCTGTGAGGCCCAGGGCTCCCTGGGTTCCTGGCCGGTGACTGAGCCGCCCCAGCAACAGCAGGGGCTGGGGAGCCGGGGAGCCGGGGAGCCGGGGAGCGGGGCCAGGCCTCAGCGCTGCTGCTCTGGGTGACCCCAGCAGCCCAGGGTGGTTGTGAAGACTGACGTGGCTGAGTCTGGAACCGGGAAGCGACATCGGGCTGGTGCTGGCCCTCGGGCTGCTCCTACACCGGCTGGGCACCCGCTGGACAGAATCACAGTTAACACCTTGGTCCCGACACCCGGACTCAGAAGTGGACAGGCAAGTGCCTGCCCTGGGAGGAAGGAGAGGCCTGCTCCCAGAGGCCCCACCTCAGATCACGGCCACCGAAGCCGAGGGCAGAATGCCAGCAGGACGGTGACGTCCCCATCCTGTCAGGAACCCCAGTGGGCCCTGAGGTCACAGCCAGCTGGGTGGGTCCCACCAACAGGGCATGAACAGGACGACAGATGAACCGCAGCCACAGCGCCAGGAGGGCAGCCCGCGTCCGCTGCCCACGCCAGCTGGGGCCTGGTGAACGCCAGTCTGGGGCTGATGGACCCACAGGGAAGGCCTGGGCGCCAGCCACCTCACACACTGCCCAGGCCTGCGGGACCCGACACGTCAGCCTCAAGAGGCAGCCTCGGCGCCCGGCAGTGCCGCCTGCTTCATCTGGGCGACCTCCCGCTCCAGGTCCTCGCCAGCTCGCCGCAGCTGCTCACACCTCTGCCTCAGCGTGGCGCCCGCCTGCCGCAGCCGCTGGTTGTCAGCCACGTAGGCCCGGCTCTGCCGGTACAGCTGCTCCCCCGGGGCCTCCATGTCCTCCATCATCCTGAAGGGGACCGGGGGGTCTGGGACAGGACAAAGAAGCGTCACTACCCGCTGACCAGGGGACCCCAGAGGGCAGCCCCCTGGGTACGCCTCACTGCGGCCCCCAAAGGACACGGATCCCCACATTCCCTGAGCCAGCTGCTGGCCGGAGTCTTTAAAAAGACGGAACAGGCCAGGTGTGGTGGCTGTCACTTAGCCCAGCACTCTGGGAGGTGGAGGCTGGAGGATCACTTGGGCCCAGAAGTTAGATACCAGCCTGGGCAACATGGTGAGACCCCATCTCTACCAAAAAATACAAAAATTAACCGGGCATGGTAGCGCACACCTATAATCCCAACTTCTCTGGAGGCACAGAGGCGGGAGGATCACTTGAGCCTGGGAGGTCGAGGCCGCAGTGAGCTATGACCGTGCCATGCACCCCAGCCTGGGTGACGAGACTTTGTCTCAAAATAAATAAATAAATAAAAACCAAATAACAGAAGCTTCCTGGCCCATGAGCTGGGAGAGGCACAGCAGCTGGGTGGCAAGAGGGGCCAGGGTCTGACGGGGGTGCCAGGCTTCCAGCTCTAGGCTACCCGCCTTAGCAAAGCATGTGACCAGGGGTATCAGGTCACAGAGCTCAAGCCTAGCCAGCGGTGGCCCTGTGGGCGGTGTTCCAATCCGAAAACCTCTCCAGGGCCTGCAGCCTCAAGTAACCCACACCTGGGGAGGCGGGGCCAGCGAAGGTGGAGGCGGGGCCTGAGAAGGTGGAGGCGGGGCCAGCGAAGGTGAAGGCGGGGCCGGAGGTGGAGGCGGGGCCGGAGGTGGAGGCGGGCCGGAGAAGGTGGAGGCGGGGCCGGAGGTGGAGGCGGGGCCGGAGGTGGAGGCGGGCCTGAGAAGGTGGAGGCGGGGCCAGCGAAGGTGGAGGCGGGCCGGAGAAGGTGGAGGCGGGGCCAGCGAAGGTGAAGGCGGGGCCGGAGGTGGAGGCGGGCCGGAGAAGGTGGAGGCGGGGCCGGAGAAGGTGGAGGCGGGGCCGGAGGTGGAGGCGGGGCCGGAGGTGGAGGCGGGCCGGAGAAGGTGGAGGCGGGGCCAGCGAAGGTGGAGGCGGGGCCGGAGGTGGAGGCGGGCCGGAGAAGGTGGAGGCGGGGCCAGCGAAGGTGAAGGCGGGGCCGGAGGTGGAGGCGGGCCGGAGAAGGTGGAGGCGGGGCCGGAGGTGGAGGCGGGGCCGGAGGTGGAGGCGGGCCGGAGAAGGTGGAGGCGGGGCCAGCGAAGGTGGAGGCGGGGCACCCACTCCCTGCCAACGCTCACATATAGGGGAAACCACGTGAGGCGCCCTGCTCCCCAAAGCGTGCAAGCCCACTGCAGCGGGTGGAAGCAGCACAGACTCGGGGTCATGCAGAGAGGCGACAGGGTCCGCTCGGCTCTGGCCTGGCCCTTGGCCTCCCACTAAGGAAGGCTGCACGTGCCGTGCAGGCCGGGGCTGATGGCATCACCTGACACCTCCTGCTTTAGGAACAGGGTGGGAAAGGCCCGACGGTGCTCACGGATGAAGGCAGGCCCGCCACGAGGCCCCTCTACCTTCTGTGAGCCCCTGCACAGCTGTGCCTCAGTTTCTCCAAACAGCCATGGCCCCGGGCCCATGACGCTGAAACCACGGCTCCAGCACCCTCAGACGACCGAACTGCATGCTGTGAATAAACCCAACTCGTGCGCTTTGACCGGTACTGGCCGACAGAACCTTCCAGATGATGTGCACACCTCCCACCTGTGCTGGCCACACGGCAGCCGCCAGCCACAAGCGGCTCCCTCTTTGTTTTAGAGACAGGGTCTCACTCTCTCACTCAGGCTGGAGCCTCCAACTCCTGGGTATAAGCAATCCTCCTGCCTCAGCCTCCCAAAGTGCTACAATGACAAGCATGAGCCACTGCACCTGGCCCCAGAATTTTCTAGCATTAACTTCTTAAAAACGTTTCCATAGAAATTCAGTTTCTGTCATCCACGACTGTTTCTTTCTCTTTTTTTTTTTTTGAGACGGAGTTTCGCTCTTGTTACCCAGGCTGGAGTGCAATGGCGCGATCTCGGCTCACTGTAACCTCCGCCTCCCGGGTTCAAGTGATTCTCCTGCCTCAGCCTCCTTAGAAGCTGAGGAATTACAGGCACGCGCCACCACGCCCAGCTAATTTTTGTATTTTTAGTAGAGACGTGGTTTCACCATGTTGGTCAGGCTGGTCTTGGACTCCTGGCCTTGTGATCCACCTGCCTCGGCCTCCCAAAGTGCTGGGATTACAGGTGTGAGAAATGTTCCTTCTCACCTGCCCCCGTTTACAAATGAGAAGTGTATTCACGGCTCCTGGGCCTTACAAAAACGGGCAGCAGCAGGGCTTGTCCGGGCCCTACTTTACCACCCCTTTTACATTCATTCATTCATTTTGAAACGGAGTCTCACTCTGTTGTCCAGGCTGGAGTGCAGTGGCGCGATCTCGGCTCACTGCAACCTCCCCCTACCGGGTTCAAGTGCTTCTCCTGCCCGAGCCCCGGGTGGCTGGGATTCCAGGCACCTGCCACCACTCCTGGCTAATTGTATTTTTATTAGAGACGGTTCCACCACGTTGGCCACGCTGATGTCAAACTCCTGACCTCAAGTGATCCACCCACCTCAGCCTCCCAAAATTCAGGGATTACAGGTGTGAGCCACCAGGCCAGGCCTTTTTTTTTTTTTTTTTTTCCCCCCCCACTGTTTCTGAGACGGAGTCTTGCACTGTCTGAAGGGCTGGAGTGCAATGGCACGATCTCGGCTCACCGCAACCTCTGCCTCCTGGGTTCAAGCTATTCTCCTGCCTCAGCCTCCCGAGTATCCGGGATTACAGGCGTCTGCCGCCATGCCCAGCTAATGTTTGCATTTTCTTTCTTTTTTTTTTGGGGGGGGGTTGCATTTTTAGCAGAGACGGGGGTTTCCGCATGTTGGCAAGGCTGGTCTCGAACTCCTGGGCTCAAGCGATCCTCCCGCCTCATCCTCTCAAAGTGCTGGGCTTACAGGCCTCGGCCACTGCGCCCCGCCTCCTCCCCGTCGGAAGGACCCTCTGAAAACCGGCCCCACTCGACAGAGGAGGAGGGGGAGGCTCGGAGAGCACAAGGCCCGTGCCCTCGTCCCTGGGGTGCCCGGGGCGTGGACGGCCAGGCGTTAGGGCTTCTCTCCCTTCCCCGTTGCTGCCGGGGTCTCAGGTCCGCCCTTCCCCGGGACCGGGCTCCCCTACCTTCCGGGGCCAGGGCGGTGAACACGGGGTCCTCTGCCGGGGCCCCCCGCACGTCCTCCAGGATCTGCTCCACCGTGGGGGGCGCTGGGCGGGTGGGCAGCAGCACGCGCTTCTTGGCCTTGGAGCCCATCTCTGCAGGCGGGGAAGGGAGCGCTGACCCGGGCGTTCACCTCTCCGCCTTTGCCCGCACCGCTCCTCCCGCCCAGCGAACTCCTACACACCCGCCGCGGCCCCGCTCCGGGGGAAGCCCGCCCTGTCCCGCCCCTCCGGCCTCGCCCCAGGCCCTGACCCTCCCTCCCTCCCCCCAACAACACGGTGGCCAAGGCTTCACCGTCTGGCTCAACCTCTAACTCAGTTTCCCAGCGGTCAGCCCAGCCGCCGGCCTCTCCTCACCTGGACGCAGAAACCCGGACGCCAGCGTCAGCGAGGCAGCCACTTCCGCTTCCGGTCGGACAACCGCCCCGTCCCCGAACGAGAGAGGCGCGCTTCCGGCCTCCTCTGGCGCCGGCCCCGCCCCTTCTTAAAGGGACCGTGTCCTTGAAAACCGGATGCCAGCCTGGACGAGCGAGGGATGAGAGCCAGTTCGAGACCAGGCTCCGCTGGCTGGGTTGAAAAGCATCCGAGGCTCGTCTTTCTGAAAAGGCGGACATGCAACCCACGTGCTGTCGGGAGGACAAAGCCACTGTCCACCTAAAGGGGCCTGGTGGTGCAAGACCCCTCGGTGGCGTTGGCTGCGGGAATGGTCACCGAGGCCGCAGGGATGCAGGGCGGGCGGCCGCAGCGCCCCCGCCTCCGGTCGAGGAGGACCCTGTCACCTCGGGGGCGGGTGCCGGAGGTCGCTCCCCCCCTCCCCGGAAGCCTAGGAAGGTAGAAAGCGGAAGGCGCTTTTCCTGTGTTTCAAGAGCTTTATCGAGATGCCCTTTATGTACCATAAAGTTCGCCTGTTCTGTTGTGTTTAGAGGCCTCCAGGCGCCACCACGCCCAGCTAATTTTCCTTTTTTTATGTTTTTTTTTTTTGAGACGGAGTTTCGCTCTTGTCACCCAGGCTGGAGTGCAATGGCGCGATCTCGGCTCACCGCAACCTCCGCCTCCTGGGTTCAGGCGATTCTCCTGCCTCAGCCTCCTGAGTAGCTGGGATTACAGGCACGCACCACCATGCCCAGCTAATTTTTTGTATTTTTAGTAGAGACGGGGTTTCACCATGTTGACCGGGATGGTCTCGATCTCTTGACCTCGTGATCCACCCGCCTCGGCCTCCCAGAGTGCTGGGGTTCCAGGTGTGACCTACGCGCCCGGCCGAGTTCACCTGTTTAAACTGTAAGTTCAGCCCAGGCTCAGTGGCTCCTGCCTTTAATCCCAGCACTTTGGGAGGCCCAGGTGGGCAACATCACTTGAGGCCAGTTGCAGGCCAGCCCGGCCAACATGGTGAATCCCTGTCTCAACTAAAAATAGAAAAGTTAGCCGAGTGTGGTGGGGCGCGCCTGCAGTCCCAGCTACTCGGGAGGCTGAGGCAGGAGAATCGCTTTAACCCGGGCGGTGGAGGTTGCGGTGAGCTGAGACTGTGCCCCTGCACTCCAGCCTGGGCGACCGGGCGAGACTCCGTCTCAAAAAAGAAACAAAAAACAACAAAGTGCAGGTTCAATAGCTGAGGGTTTGTTGTTGTGTGTATTTACAGGGCTGTGCAACCATCACCTCTGATTCCAGAGCCCCCATCAACCGCCAGTCCCCACCTCCTCTCTTCCCAGCCCCTGGCACCCACGCATCCCCTTCCCATGTTGGTGGACTGGTCTGTCCTGGACATTTCGGAGAAACGGGGGTCACACCGTGGCGGGTGGGGTGAGGGGGACTGCTTGAGCTCAGGAATTTGAGACCAGCCTGGGCAACATAGTGAGACCTTGTCTGTATGATTTAAGATAAATGAAAATGATAAAAACGTTCTGGCGCAGCGGTGGCTCCCACAGACAGGGCTTAACTCGTCTGAAGCCAAGGAAACTGGTGAGGGAAGGAAGGGAGGGAGGGAGGGAGGAAGGAGAAAGGAGAGAAAGGAAGAAAGGAAAGAAATGAAGGTAGGAAAGAAGGAAGGAAGGAGAAAGAGAAAGAAAAGAAAGAAAGGGAAAAGGAAGGGAGGGAGGGAGGGCGGAAAGAAGGAATGGGAGGGAGAGAGGGAGGGAAGGACCAGGTGCTCCAGCACTTTGGGAGGCCAGGGAGGGAAGACTGCCTGAGGCCAGAGTCCAGGGCTGCAGTGAGCTCCAGTCACGCCTCTGTACTCTAGACTGGGCAACGTAGGGAGACCCTGTCTCAAACATACAAAAATGGAAGCCACCATGTGGGGAGGGGAGTCTGGGCCATGGTGACCCACGTTCTGGGCTTGGATGCTCCTGCCGACCCGTGGCCACTCCCCAGTGCTCCCACTGCCTGGGGTCCCCGGGCCTGGGCGGACTCCCTTCTCCACGACCGGCTGCATTCTCCATGGGCTGATGTCCGGGGACCCCCAAGCAGAAACCACCTGAGCCCTGGGACCTCGGGCCCGCCCTGCTCCAGAGGAGGCCACTGACTAAGCACCTTCTATGCAACCTTTATTTGCAAACTCTGAGGTTGGACACGGGCCTGAGACGGACGGCGTCCAGTTCCTGTCCCTCCACTTTCCCGTGGCTTCTGGGGCTGGGAAAGGACAGTGATCACGGTCCAGCCTCTGCCGCAGCCTGCTCCCGCCCAAAACCAAAAGGCATAGGAGACTTCTGTCTCTCTTCCCCCCAGCCTGCGGGGTCCCTGGCAAGCTGGGCGTCAGGGGCTGGGGCCCGCTCCTCTGGGGCCAGCCTGTGGAGGCAGCAGGGCAGCAGTGCCTGCCAGGGACCCAGGCCAGGGAAATGTCAGTTTCCAAGCTGATAACTTCAGATTCCAGCTGGCAGCCAGATCTGGGGGTTGGTGGGAGGGGCCCTGGCACGAGCCGGGCCTATGGTGGGCGGTCCCTGGACATGCCGCAGAGGACAGGGCCCCCGAGGGTCACGGCCAGGAGGCCCAGCACCATGGCCGACGCTCCGCAGCGGTGGTAGGGGCAGGCGGCAGCTCTAAGCTGGCGGTGGCTGTCGGGGGTGCTGGGCCCCAAGCAGGAGCCCTGCTGCTGGTCCAGCGTGTAAGACGGGGGACAGGAGGTGCAGTCCCTCAGGGAGCTGCCACGGCAGGTGTAGCAGGAGGCGTGGCAGCTGGAACAGACCCTCAGTGCGGGCGCCGCCGGATGACCAGGCCTGGCGGTCACCAGCCTTGTGTGGTTGAAGAAGCGTGGGGGGCAGTGGGCCAGACAGAGCTGTCCCAGGAGGTAGGCGGGGTCGCCACATGCTGCTTGGGGATACAGACATGGAAGCCGTGAGCTCGCCACCCAAGGCCTGTTGCCCACCATCTGCCCTCTGGGGCCACAGGCACGGTGCCCGCAGTAGCCGCCTCTACCTCCCAGCCGTGGGCCCTGCCGTGTCGGCACTCACCCTGGCACAGCCCCTCCGTGTCCCGCCGCACACACAAGCTGCCGGTCACCTGGGGGCCTGGAGGCCTCGCTGCCATGTCCTCCGCCGTCCCGTAGAGCAGCAGTGTGTAGCGGTACAGCATCCCTGGGCAGGGGTCACAGGTGCACACAGGAGGAGGAAGAGGCTCTTGGCAGCCTGGACCTGGCTGTCCCTGGGATCCCTCCCCTGCAGCTCCCACCCAGGGCCCCAGACTGGTCCACGTCTCCCAGGGAATTGCACACCTGCTGTGCGCCTGTCCCTGGACATGGACATCTCCCAGGTCACTACACACCTACTGTGCATCCATCACTGCACACCGACATCTCCCGGCTGACTCCACACCCACTGTGTGCCCGTCACTGCACACCTACTCTGTGCCTGTCACTACACACCGACATCTCCCGGCTGACTCCACACCTACTGCGCGCCTGTCACTGAACACCTACTGTGCACCCGTCACTGCACACCCACTGTGTGCCTGTCACTGCACACCTACTCTGTGCCTGTCACTACACACCAACATCTCCCAGGTGACTCCACACCTACTGTGCGCCCGTCACTCCACACCTACTGTGTGCCCATCACTGCACACCGACATCTCCTGGCTGACTCCACACCTACTATGTGCCCGTCACTGCACACTGACATCTCCCGGCTGACTCCACACTACTGCATGCCCATCACTGCACACCTACTCTGTGCCCGTCACTGCACACCTACTCTGTGCCTGTCATTACACACCGACATCTCCCGGCTGACTCCACACCTACTGCGCGCCTGTCACTGAACACCTACTGTGCACCCGTCATTGCACACCCACTGTGTGCCTGTCACTGCACACCTACTCTGTGCCTGTCACTAAACACCAACGTCTCCCGGGTGACTCCACACCTACTGTGCGCCTGTCACTGCACACGTACTGCACGCCTGTCACTGCATACCTACTGTGTGCCCATCACTGCACACTGACATATCCCGGGTGACTCCACACCTACTGCGTGCCTGTCACTGCACATTGCTATCTCCTGGGTGACTCCACACCTACTGTGCGCCTGTCACTGCACACGTACTGCACGCCTGTCACTGCATACCTACTGTGTGCCCATCACTGCACACTGACATATCCCGGGTGACTCCACACCTACTGCGTGCCTGTCACTGCACATTGCTATCTCCTGGGTGACTCCACACCTACTGTGCGCCTGTCACTGCACACGTACTGCACTCCTGTCACTGCATACCTACTGTGTGCCCATCACTGCACACTGACATATCCTGGCTGACTCCACACCTACTGTGCGCCTGTCACTGCATACCTACTGTGTGCCCATCACTGCACACTGACATATCCCGGGTGACTCCACACCTACTGTGCGCCTGTCACTGCATACCTACTGTGTGCCCATCACTGCACACTGACATATCCCGGCTGACTCCACACCTACTGTGCGCCTGTCACTGCATACCTACTGTGTGCCCATCACTGCACACTGACATATCCCGGGTGACTCCACACCTACTGCGTGCCTGTCACTGCACATTGCTATCTCCCAGGTGACTGCACACCTACTGTGCGAATGTTCTCTTGGAGAAGGCCACTGGGAACCTGTTTCTCAGTGGGGTCACCAAGGCTAGCACCAGAGCCCCTGGGGGGAGGTGAGCGAGCCAAGCCCCGCCCCCCACAGCCCCGCCCCCACAGCCCCGCCCCGCCCTCACCCGTGTTGAAATAGTAACCCTTGTTCTCCAGGCCCAGCGTCCACACGCCCTGCGGGTTCTCATCCCAGAAGTGGGTGGACATGAACACCCAGTTGTTGTAGCCTTCAGTGCTGACGTCCAGGGGTCTGGGACAGAAGGGCAGGCGGGGGTGGGCGTGTCAGGAGGAACGGCTTAGTGAAGCCCGCAGAGCCCATCAAGTGTCTGGCCTCATGGGCTGCTGGCCGGGGTCCTCCGGGTGTGGGCAGGGGCGTACATGGAGGTCCGACCCACTGGGCTGCCCTGTGATTCCTGTGGGCCTGGCCCCTCGCCGTGAGGACGCCTGGGGAAGATGG